CTTGAAAATAAACTCCGTATTAATGGCATTGTATTATTCGCAAGTCATTCACTTTACCACCCCAATTCCATATCTTATATCTGATAAATTTCAACTTCCCTCTATGTGTGAACTACTACATAACTTGGGGAAAGACCCATATCATGAAAGCCAAGCTTTTTTGATTAATACTAATACAACCTGTGAACTTAAAAAATTACTTTTATTCTGATGAACCAATAAAATTATGGCCAATATTTACAAATAATTACTTCTTAGTTTCACATTACAATATACGTAAATTGATAATTCACAAACAACATTCACTCATATGCACATACACAGAGTAGCCTATGACCCTGTATCAGGGATTAGGAGGAATGCCAGACAATTGAATAACCCTGAACAACAGTAAAACAAACAAATAAAATCATAATAATACAAATAATAATATAACTATAACAATATAATTCCATTAGAAAATCAATATCAAATCACATTTATTTCCAGCTTGTGGACAGACTTTAATTAAATGAAGAAATAAGCTAAGTCATGAAGAACCAAAAAGATTGAAATCAAGTGGCATGATATCTTTGGCAAATTTTGTTCCGCAGTAAATACATTCAAATATTAAGACAACACACGACACGCAGAGAAAAACACCAAGAGTTTTTTACTACTAGAAAATTCAATAAAAAACATATACATTTCTTAAAGAAGTTCATTCATTTACTCATTGCAAATATCTGTTGCCTTCATCTTTCTGTCATGTTGTTTATTTCATAATTTGACATTTTTTGCACCAGAGAATACTTTTAAACCGGGCATCTCTAACTTTGGTGGATGCTACAGATATGTTATTGGTCTGAATTTTTTTTTCTTTCTTTTTCTTTTTCTTTTTCTTTTGAATTGAACTGATTGCTGTTATCAAATTCGTCAAAACGTTTCAAACTTTCTTAAAATCTTTTATCTTTACTTCAAAAACCGAGTAAAAAATACTTATGAACCCATTGGGAAAGAAACTATTAGCAAGTAATTACAGAAGGAGCTTCCGATTGTACACAGAAGGCCACAATAAGGTGATAACCAAGTCCTCTGTTTTGAAAAGTCTGCCTTTTTTTTTAATCAGGGAAACCTTTAATGTTGATCTGGACGTACCGCTTGTAGAATCAATTACCAAATATATTACAGTTTTAGGATTGTTAACCATTTTTGTTTATTTCAGAAATAGCTTTTGACTCCTGAACTGAGGAAAACTGGGAGACGCTAACTAATTGAGGGCTGTTCCCACAAGGCAGGTTCACTGGATGAATGTGTATCATTCCTGATGCTCAGCCTCTACTTTGGAAACATTTTCAATTTGGAATCATATTTAGACAGTAAACTACTTTGTTTTAAGGTATATTTGAAAGCCTGTTATATATTTAGCCACATTTTTGGGAATGAGAAAAATAAGACTACTTAAATGAACGTGCATGCCAATAATCTAAAACCAAGATAATTTATGAATGCTATTTATAACTTAAATGCATGTGATTAAACTGAAATGTGCAATGGGAAACCTGTAATACAAGGCTAAAATAAATTAACTGCTAATATTGTGAGGTGCTTTTGAAAGATATTGATAAGTTGGGATATTTCCTTGCCACCAAAATTACAATTACAATATAATCTTCTCAGAGAAAATGGGGGATTTTTTATAAAGGTGATCAACGGCTAACTTGTAGAATTTCTAATCCTGATGGCATTGGAGGAAGGGGTTAGGAAGATCTAATGAGATTAAAGGTGCACCGGAGAGGAAACGGGAGTAAAATGGGGGTGGGGTGCAAATAAGAAATTGAAATAAGAGGGGATGAGAAAAGAGAAAGAAGTGTTCTTCGATTTTGCTGGTGCAGCAGGTTTTGATCATGTCGATGGAGAGGTGTGGCGTGTTCGTGACCTGACGAAGGACAAAAGGACTGCATGTGTGTATTTAATTTTGTATCTCTCTACTTTAAGCCAACAGAAATACACATAGCCACTACATAAACAAAAATTGTCAGATAAATGGCACGGCAATCCCTTCATAATTAATCTAACATTCATTCTCAGTGCTTAAAGGGATAGTTCACCCTCACATCATTCTAAACCTGTATGCATATATTTCAAAAGATATTTTGAAAAATTCGTCAGTGTTTTTATTGTCCATACAATGAAAGTCAAAGTGGTCCAATGTTATCTTGGAACGACATGAGGGTGAGTAAATGATGACAGAAGTTTCATTTTTTTGTGAACTTTCACTTTAAGACAAAGGAATTCATGTTGCCATCAGGAGTCTCTTGTACACTCCTAGAAAAAAGGTTCAGTGGGGTTCTTTTATGCCAAAAAAGTTTTATATAAGGAGAAATGTCTTTAATGGTTGCATAATATTTTAATGTTTAACAGGTTATTTTTTAAAAAAATCTAGTGATAAAGGATGTTAATAAGCTGTTTAATTCATACAATTTATAAAAAAAAAATAAAAAAAAAAAAAAATCCATAAAATGATCCCATAATGGGAACCCCTAAAAGGTCATATATATGGTGTGCTTGATAGAACCCTTTAAAGTTCTATATAGAACCTTTTCTTCTAAGAGTGTACCCTGTTATATCATCCGAAAATAAAACAGCTTTTCGGTCTCAGAATATGTGGATTATGCTAATAATTTTGCTATTAGTTTACTAAAACATTTTAGTCTCATTTAATCTGTTTTTAGTGTAAATTACTTGTCAGCACAATATTGTATATAATAGAACAATGGTTTTTTAATGGATAATGATATCTTACTTGCTGTTAGAATATTTAATAGATCTTATGAGTATCATCTTTCCCTCTAGTTTGTTTGCTGGGTTTTAATTACTTTGTTAAATTGGCATGTAAAAAAAACGCTGTTAAAAATTGTGGGCAGTGGCATCGGTTGATTGATTGGTTGGTCAAGCTCTGATCTCATTATGTCATGCAGACAGCTTCGCAATTTAGTGACGTATGGTCATTCTTGGATGACTCAGTAGAAAAATAAAGGCACTGTCCTTGATTTCAGCTGGTGTACTTCAGGTTCATAATGCCTCAGACTAAAAGTTTAAAAGGTCAAAGTTCACCAGTAGTCATTAGTGGTGAACGGCATCAAGGGTTTCTTTAGAGTTGCATAACTTGCAACTTATGGTCTACAAACAAATCCTATTACTACTTTACAGTCCAGAGCAACAACATAAAAACAAAAACTATCAACTTCTATATATATATTCATAGGTTTGTCTTTTTTTTAATTATTATTATTTCACATCAAAATTTTGGTGCTTGCGACTCACTACTACAACTACAGTGTTCTCCTTTTTCGAAAGCTACTCAGCAATGCACAGTGTATTGAAGAAAAAAAAAAATAAAACAAGGAAATCAAGAACTGGGAACACTCATCACAGACAATAGCTAAATAAAGCACACTTTTTGTCTTTGCTCGTCTACTAGAATCTAAAGTTAGATATCAATATATTAGTCAATAATGATATCAAAAGCTCTTGTCATTGTAAATGATAGATGTACAGGATATCTCAGACAGACAAATAGGGATGAATGTACAGCATTAATGTTGCTACATAGAGAGTTTGGTAAGGCCTCCACCTTGGTCTCATGCATTGTCTTGGCGCAGTATGGATGAAGGGAATATTCAAAAACAAATGCACTCATAGAGCATGAACAAAAAAGGTCATTTCCGGATAACAGATTTGCCACTTTGTGCTTTTAAGAGTGTCTATTTGCACTACTAAAGAGTATCTTTGGGGAGGCTAAGGAGACGTTTTGAATGGACAGACAGTATGACATCACTTCCTGTAAGGGACATTAGCATCGGTGTTCCCCTTCTAAAATGTAGCGACTTCACAAAAGTTTGTCAGCACTTCAATACCAGCAAGCTGTTAATTACAACTGATTTACGTTTGGAATGAAACATCAGGGGTTTGAAAAGAGAACCAGCTACGTATTCCACGGCAACATCTTTAGCTAGCAGTAGCATTGTAGCATTTGTCTGCAGTAAACTTTTACACACAATTATATATATTACTCTCCATCATAAATAGCTATAAATCTTACCAATGTACAGTTGAATAAGGGTATTCTGTACATACGTAAATAGTATTTATCTACACTGAGGAAGGAGAGGAGTCTTTAAAATACAGTGCTCTCATTCATGACAACAGTGCTTTAATGCTGCTATTTTCCAACTTAATGACTGAAATCACAAAACAGTCCCATTTATATGCGTCGCGTCGCACTAATGCTAAACCTCCATCTTATTCAAGAAGTCCATTATGCTTGAATGGTACCTAGATTAGAACTTAGGGCTCAAATATTCTTGTGCTTACGCATCAGGGCTAATTTCAGAATCTTTCAGTAATCTCTCTCCTAACTCTACTGTAATTACACTCCTATTTCAAATGGAAGCATCCCATGATCAATGGTGAAATGGGTCTGTCCTTCACGCTGGCTAATTTTAAAGTAAATAATGCCAATATTCCGACCTGAGTTATCTGTCCAACTCCATTGAATCTCCGTTCACTTGATACTTAAGGTTCTCTCCAAAACAATTCATGGTTTTAGCGGACTAGTGAAACCGTCTAGTCAAGTTTAATAAGACAGATTACGATGCCACGTTCACACAGTTGATGAAATGACTCAAAAATGAACTCAAATCACATAGGTCATCTCAAGCTGCCACTAGTAGATTGTCTGGTACCAACTCCCAACACCTGATCATCTCTATAAGAACAGACTGCATAGAGATGCAAAGACGATAGGATAAGCAAGGCTTTAATGACAGAAGATAAATTAAAAGCAATAACAGATTTAGGGTACTATGTTTACACGACAACAATGTACTAAAAACGGAAGCGTTTTTATGCGTACAGGCAACAATGTTGTCAAAACAATCCCCGTTCACACGGATCCGCGAAAATTACTAAAAAGCTGTATTATGCAGTAACTACGCGTAAACACTACGCGCATAGTCTGAACATGTAATATGCATGCGCCTGACGTCACCATTTTCACAAATTCACGTTTTTGTAATTTACATGGAGACGATAACGGTATCGTTTTCAAAAGCTTGCGTTTTCAGGCCCCCAGAACGCTGTTGCCGTGTAAATGAATGGTCAAAATGCATTCAAATGTTTCCGTTTTTAGTTGAAAACGGTGTCATGTAAACAGCCCCTTAGTGTGAGGAGAGACCACAGGAATACAGGTGAATGGGTGTATACTTTCCACTAATGGACAGAAATTAGACACATCAGCTGAAGCTACTGATTGGACCATTGATTGTAATTGGCAGGAAAACATTGTCACCTCTTCTTTCTTTCTTTTTTTCTTTCTCCATTCTCCTTCCTGCTTCTCCTCCACTTCTTTTCTTCCATATGTAGGCAGTCTCATGTGGGCGTTATCAATCCAATCTCACTCCTCTTTTTTTGTTTTTGTTTCTCCCACTCCTTCACCATTCCTCTTCTCCTCTGCTCGGCTGGTCAGTGACGGTCATAGGGAGTGGCAGTTGCTGTTGCTGCCGTTCCTGGTCCCCGTGTGGCTGCGCTATAGTAGTATGGAGATCCTACAAGGGATATGAAAAACAACGGTCAGTCATCTGATATACAAAAGAACCCCCCCCCCCCCATCTAATAATTAAATTTAGTCCAGAAGTCCACCTCACTTTAGATATTTCTGTACACTACCAAAAGTTCCAAAGTTTTGGGTAGGTAAGATTTATAAATGTTTTTGAAAGTATCTTGTGCTCATTAAAGCTGCATTTGTTTGATGGAAAATACAGTAAAAAAATACAGTAATTTAAAATAGCTGTTTTCAATTTTAATTTATTTTAAAATGTGATGTATTCCCACGATGGCAAAGCTGAAGCAGCTATTACTCCAGTTTTCAGTGTCACACGATCCATCAGAAATCATTGTAATATGCTGATTCTTTACTCGAGGAACATTTCTTATTATTATCATTGATGAAAACAGCTTTTTCCAGGATTCTTTTATGAATGGAAAGAACAACATTTATTTGAACTAGAAATCTTTTGTAGCATTATACACATCTTTACTTTAACTTTTGATCAATTGAATGCATCTTTGCTGAATAAATAATAATACAAATAAAACATAATGGCCCCAATAAATAAAACAATTTAACTAAATTGTGTGGCGCTGCATTTATTTTTAACCATGCAATCCTGTTAAAATAATCTGAAATCAACGGCAGTTAAAGATTACATTAAAATAAATGCTAAATAAGAAGCAATGCATTCAATACAAAGAATATATGATTACAGGAAGATGGATTTACAGCCCAGCGTACTTTTGATTTATCAGTCCCCCACAGTCATGACACCCTTCCACTTATTTTAAATGACACCATCAGCATCAGCTCAGTTTCTGCTGGGAAAAGACCATTTCTGCTCTATAAGACACATGATCCTTCTTGATCAGTCTGTGTTGGCATTAAGTGCTGATGGACCCCTTAGATCCAGAAATGTCTTTAGTATCATATTTAGTTTTAGCAGGAATTATTTTTCTTTATTCCACACAGAGACAGCGGGCATGAGTGAAGGGTATAACAGAGTGCAGGGACAGCGACGCTGCTTAGTCTTTATTGCCGGAGGTAAAGAGTTTGAAATTGGGAGAAATATGTTGGAGAAATATGGCGGATGTGTGTGTTTGTCTTCCCTGGAAATGAAGATTATACGAGTGTGATTAAGTAGCTTTTGTGTTGTGGTTTGAGAGCGTGAGGTATATCACAATGTCATAGATACTATAGGGATATATTTCAAATATTGTTTTAAACTATATTCACAATTATTTTGCTGACAACAATATTATGCAACATTGTGATTATTGCAATGATTAACAGTACTTTTTTGTGCCCAGTAAGTTTAAGTAGACTAGTTTCACAATTCTTCCTTGTCTCACTACTAAGATGAGAGCATTAAAACAGAGATTTCAATAAAACGATATATCCCGGCCAGCCCTAAAAGACACTGAACTTTGCCTTGGAGCACTTCACACAAACACTGTCAAACTTCTGTCAAATCAGGGTCTCTTTCTTGACACACAAAGCAAAAAATCATGAAATCTCCAAGGAGCCCCTTGTCCATTGGGAACGTTAAGGTCAGCTCTGTGGCTCTCTCTTACACACATATTACTGTTTTTAAGCCTATGCTCCTTCACCTTGCTCTTGACAGATGTGTCAGTCTGAGGTTTTGCTGATCGGGGCAGGTTCTTCTAAAACACTTATTCTGTGCACCATACATACAAAAACACGTGACATACCCAGCAATGTTTTAAACATCACATCCCCCTCTGATGGCATGGGTGTTTTGGTACCTGTGGGTTGTGGGGTTTGGCCGGAGAATAGACCCGATGAAGCTGCTCTCTCCGAGCCCAGTAAAGAACCATACTCCTGCTGGAACACTGAGAAGAAAGTGCACACACATACAACAATAAGTTTATAGTTCACAGAAAATGCAGTTATTTTAGAAACATAACTATGAATGAATCCTTTATAAAGCACTCTTAAGCCAATGCATTTTATGTTCCATTTAAAAGAATAGTTCACCCAAAAATGAAAATTCTGTCTCCCACATGTCCATCCAAACTGGTATTTTGTTATTTATAGAATCTTTTCCATATACAACCACTGGGTCATGCTGTTTGGTGCTCAAGAAAAATCTCTTATTATTATCAATGTTGCAAACAGTTGCGCTACTTTTTTGTGAAAACCGTTATATATATATTATTTTTTTTTAACATTATACATGTCTTTACGGTCACTTTTTGTATCCTTGGTGAAAACAATATAATAAAAACAAAACAAGGCCTATTAGGGTTTTTTTTTTTTTTTTAAAAGAATAAAAAAAATCATACTGACCACAACATTTTAAATGGTAATGTATAAGTTATACATAACCTTTCTGTGTGGAACAGACTGAAGTTGTTAAATTTTCCGATAATCTTCCCTTTCACTGAAACCCTGAAATCGAATTCATGTCCATTGGTTCTAGCGTGAGTCCTATCTAGTGATGGCAGCAGTTCAAATATGCAGAATGGAGGATGAATTTGCAGATGAGGGCAAATTATTTGAATTGCATTCAAAGTTTAACTGTGAGATATAAAGTAGGAAGTGTTACATATAAAGTCTCATAGTGATATATAAAGTTGCAATTATGAGAAAGTCGTAATTTGAAATATAAAGTTATATTGGTAGATATAGTCACAATTATCTTTTAATTTATTTTCTTATTCTGAGGCAGAAACCGGCTTCCATATGATGGTGAGTTTCATTTTGGGTGAACTATTCCTTTAAAGCACATTCTTACAAAAGCATGGGCTGAGAAAGTTTGCTCCATCACTGTCCAGACGGTTGTGCTTTCAGCAGCTTTTACCTAGTAGACTGGGGTTTGCAAATCTCCAAGAATCATTGTATGTCGAATACTGCGGATGGGAGTATGGACTGCCAGAGAAATCTCCTCCTGAAATGTAAGTAAAAACAATAAAAATATTAGATATGCATGTAAAATTGTTCAGTCTGCAGCTTGAATTTACATCCTATACAGTGTATGTAGTGTGTAGGAGCCTAAAAGTTCCAATTGGCTAGGTGAAAGTGTCGATTTGTGACAGTTTTTCTCCTCCATTGCTTCAGTGTAGTTTTCCCTTTATCTCCATGTCTCTTTCTCTCCCTCTTTTCCCATCTCCCTCGTTCTCCCTTTCCCTGGGGAACACTTTCCCTTTGCTGGCTGTCACAAAATCAGAGGCCCCAACTCTCTCGCTCTCTCTTTCCCTCCATCTCTCGCTCTGTCGGTTCTGCCTGGCTGGTTTTGTGCCCCCCTCCCCTGTGTGTCAGCCCCCCTGCTGAAAGAGAGGAAGCAACAGAACGAAAGAGAAGGAGAGGAGAAATAAGCGATACACTCTGAGAGAAAGTGGAGGAAGAGGATCCAGCAGATATAGGGAGAGAAGAAAAGGCACTACTAATCCATTTTTCACAAAAAATGGCAGTGAAATATATAAATCTATCATATATGAGAGCTGTAAATAAGCATTTAAGCATTTAATTTTTTTTAGCTTGGGAGTTTTACCAATAATTATCATCTTTCTTTTTTTCAGATTATTTCATTTTAATGATATCAATGTACTCAAAATAACTGATTAAATACAACCTGTGCAAAAGGCTAACTGGGGTTTTTTAAGCAAGCTAACAAGACACTCTTAAAAATAAAGGTACTTATGGTTCCATGGAGAACCTTTAACATCCATGGGAACTTTTCAATGTAAAAAAGGTTCTTTAGGTTATGAAATGTTCTTCAAACTAAGAAGCAGGTAGAAATTAGCTTCCATTTGATGGAGAGTAAATAATGACATTTTCATTTTGTTTATTATAAATTTTAATTGAGTGAGCAAGTTTTCATAATTTCTATTTATTACAACTAACCACAACTAAAGTGAACTTTAAAAACTTTTTATTTAAAGCAACATCACAATTTATATTGTTTCTGTATTATATAAAAGAATAGGGATAGGCCTACGTGAACATGAAATTATTTATGAGAATGTTGCCTTCAAAGTAATTAAAATGTGACATCATAAAGACAGAAAAAAACACCACAATAGTTGAAGGTAAATGAAATGGGATTATCTAAAGTGCATGTCTGGAGCTTTGTTCCTACTCTTAACCTTCAGCATGCTCTTAGATGGGATCGTTGGCATGGTTACCTCTTCTCTGTCAACTCTGCGCTACAGCGTATACACCGTGTCAGGTTGTTTAGGGAAGATGCTCGTGAAAGCGAGGGGGATGACTTATGGACGGAGAAGAAAATAGGGATGGGGTCTCCCCAGCGAGAGAGATGGGTTGCAAGGTCATAAATGCTTGTCAGAAGTGGGGGAAACATGGGGGATTCAGTCGGAGGGAAATACGAGACAAGGTTACGGATCTTGCTCTGAAGAGAGGGGACCCGACAAGACCCTACGAGTCACTGTGGCAACCGGGGAGAGCTTCGACAGAGACACCCGTGTGACAGACTGGAGACACGACAACAGACATGTTGTTGTTTTGGCTTGGGTTTGTTTTGTTGTGTTCAGGGAGTTGATACAAGGGTTGGCGAACAATCCTTCATCGTAGACCTTTTGTTTTTTTATACCAGTCTATTTGTCTTTTTGCACAAGAGATTTTCCACTATATCTCTTGTTACCTTGCACTTGATATTGAAGCTAAACAAGCACACGTTACCTTCACTTTGATGAGACATTGAGAGAGAAAATGAATTACTGATTAGCTTTATTAGAACTGAAATCCCTTCTTGCAATTGTTTCCCACATCACAGTTACAATTTAGCTTGGTAAGTCACATTTGGGAAGAGAACAGTAGTTGATTAAACTTTTTCATTCTTTTACATAAGAAAAGCCTGTGTTTCTTGTTTTTCCTTTCAGTTTAGTCTTGTTAATTCCCTTGTTCGTTTCATTGGTTGCTAATTACTGTAGTTACAAGTCTCATTAGTTGCCTTGTGTATATACTCCCTGTTTGGTTCAGTTCTTTGTCGGTCATCGTCGGTTTAGGCTATGTCTACATTAATCGGGATACATTTGAAAACGGCGTTTTCATTTCAAAATGCTCTCTGTTCACACTAGCGTTTTCACGCATTTTATAAAAGTTTCTCATCCACACTGAAACAAAAATTCACCTTGCTGCGCATGAGTAAAACCTCTTAAAGCTCACTAAGATGATACAGATGGAACAGACTTAATAAAGTTCTCGTGCTATTCTTCTGGCAGGATCATTTTATTGAGCAAAACATCTCACCAGTCACCATTATGTTTGGTCTAAAACGCTACCGCTCTCATGTTTTGCCCCAGGACAGCAATTGTGAGTAAATTTTCTGTCATCTTTGCAGGACTGTGATATGAAGAGTGTACAAAGTAGCAAATCTTTAGCAACTGTGTGAAATTGAATTGCACATAACAGGCACGATAGAGGTATAAACATGCATATCCATCGGTTCAATATGCGTCACATGAACATGCGTAATCGTTTTCAAATACCTCCGTTTTCACAGTCCACAAAACAATGCAGAAACATTGTTTTCAAATTTATCCACTTGGGAAAGCTTAGGCTAGTTTTCGGAGGACAAAAACGCCATCTCAGTGTGGTCGGAAGGCCAAAACACAGAGAAAAAGATGTTTTTTTTCCAACAAAAACGTAGTGTGGACAAGGCCTTAGTATATTATATGTGTGTTTAAGTCGTTACTCTCCTGAGATTCTCCAGTGTGTTCTGTTAGCTTAACAAAGACTGTTTGTTAATTTACCCGAGTCATTCGTGTTGGATTGCCACACGGCTGTGACAGAATGACCGACCCTCAATACTGGTATTAAAATACGGATTCCCCATTGCAAAACGGTGGTTCTTTTGAAGGAGTTCGCAGAGGAGATCCTGGATTTGTACCATAAGGCATGGTGGGATGATGAGGCTCTGAAGTTCATAATTTGGAGTGGGTTGGATGACGTGGGTGTGTGGATCCTCCTTCACAGTGTAAGTTGTTGAAGACATCATCAACTTAGACTCCCAAGAGCCTGTACCATCGCCAGCAGCCATCTCCTGCCTGGTCCAGATAGGAAGCCTCATCTTCCCAGCCGGAGAGCCTTGGAACTCAAGGACGACCTTCTGCCCTGGACTCAGCGACAATGCTTGAACCCGCCATGGAACCGGAGCCCGAGCCAGTGCTCGCCATGGACCATGAGCTTGAGCCACCTACATCCATGGAGCCAGAGTCAGCCATCTTGTTCATTCCAAAGCCAGAGCTGGATGCAATGTCCATCTCGAGGCCGGAGCCCATCGACAGATCTACCCCAGAGTCAGCGGTGTTGAGACAATCCACACCTGAGCCAGTGGAGGAGCACTGGCTCATTGATTGCAATCCTCAGTCTGCTCCAAATAAACTGTTTGATGACCCGGTCCCACCCTGTAATCTCACCACCCCGGCTGGTGGTGAGATTACAGACCCAGCCTCGCAGACCCACGCCGCTGACTCCTTTCAGCTCTCCGGCTCCGCCTCGGGCCTCTTTACCACTAGCACGGCTCTGTGAGGTCTCCACCTCGGCCCGTCAGCACTTCGGCTCCGCCTTGGCTCTGTGCTCCCTCATCTCCGCCGTGGTCCGCAGTGTACAGTAGTGAATTTGCATTATTTGTAAGGATGGAAGTTATCTTAAAGATAGGGATGCACAGATTAATTCTAGCTAATATGATAAGGCAATATTATTTTTTACTACTTTTCTTTAAAAAAATAAAACTCTTAAACAAATTAAACAGTTTATGTTAGTATGTAAGTTAATTTCGATACCAATAACATTTATAAAGTAACATTACTAAAGGTTGCAGAACTTTTAGCAAGAAATGATCATCTATCATATTTTTTATGAAAAAAGCATACTCTAAAATGCTCTGATACTGTCACATGTGCACAACAACTATGTGCTCTTAAAGAAGGCACTCTTCAAGAGATAGTTCTTTTAACTCTTTCCCCGCCATTGACGGAAATTTACGCCTTTCCGTGTTTTCACTGTTATATGGTAGGGGGCGTTATTACGCTTCTTCTGAATCTCCTAATCAAAACACAGGCAAAGAAGAAGGAGATGGAAACGATATAATATGTAAGCATATGCTTATGTAAAATAACGCGATCATCAACATTAAACGGCATATAAATCAAAACTGCCTAATGTTACTGAATGAAATGTCGACCCAGGACACGCTATAGGACTGTGCAAGCTTTGGGGGTGTTGATGGACTCGATCTACTTCATCTATGTTTTGATCATCGGTCTGAATTCCATCCAAACATAATCTTTGACAAAAACTTTTCTTTTTCTTTTTTTTTTTGCTCAAAATGTTTTTTATTGAACTTACCCACATTCAAGAGTTGATAAAAAAGTAATGCAAGAAGCTAGAATAAAACAGTTTTTTTGTTTAAAAGCAGAGGGTATGTTCTTTCTTTTGATTTTGCATATTTAGATATTCATACAACAAAATATTCTGGGGGCCATGAAACTTTTGTGAAAATGACCAAAAATGCTGGTGGTGGCTGGCAAATTTTTTTTTCTTTTTTTTTCTTTTTTTTTTACGCTGGTGGCGAAATAATTAATAGGTTAAATTTAGCTATAAAACAATGTCCCTTTAAGATAAAAATGTTCAATATATTTAATTATTTCTACCTGTTTTAAAAACGATAATAATAATTTAGCAGCCAATACTGCAACTTTACTGCAATACTGCATCTGTCTGTGCATACGTCATCGAGGATGTTTCATTTCAGGAAAGTAGCCATTATAAAATTGATTGTCATTCCTAATGAGCCGCAAATTGCAGTAATTTATTTCGTACTTTAGAATGTAATGGTTATTTTTCTGAAATGAGGCAGCCTCAATGACGCATGCAAAAACTTGTGACCTCCAGAGGGTGCAGCCTTCAACAGGAGACACAACAACTGAAATACTGCAGGGTGTCAAGCAATTTCGACTACAATTCTCCTACTTTTTTTCAAGTCTCTAGTACTATTCAGCAATGACTAAACGATATATATAACATCAACCCAAAAATATGATTCAAAACTGTTAAATGTGTTCCAATGACAACACAAAAACCATTTACCTTTAACCATTAAAAAAAAGAAAAAAAGAAAAGAAGATTATTTTAATAAGAAATAGATCCGTATTTTTCAGTTAATTTCAAATTATATCGGATGAAGAAAACATTTGTTCAAGTTAGTATTATTTAAAGCCACATGCATCTATGTAAACGGTATTCAAAGCCATTTGTGTTTGTGAATATGAATATCCTATATATAGTGAGAAAATCCGTGTGTATTTCTGTGATTCTGAAGTGGCCTGTGGATTAAAAAAATAGCTAAAAGAAAGGAGGCCGAGGGAGTCTCCAGGAGAATGAATGAATTAGTCAAGGGTCAGCGATGATTCTCATTAAAAACAAATTACTGATGTTGAGAAGGGACAGCTGTGTGACTGGGGTCTAATAGTCCAGCCACTCCTGCTGAAGACTCAAAGCCAGTCCACCCGCCCCACACTCTGCCAACCACCCAACAACCCCCCCACCCTTCTCCATCCCATAACCCCCTGGGAGTGCTGTCAACCTGGCAGATGGGGGGAGACAGGAAGTGGCAAAGACAAGACCCCCTCCCACTGGGACCTCAACTGAAATAAAGCAGAGGTGAAAAGGGGGTATTGGGAGAGTGACTACAGCAGGAAGAGCGAGAGAGGGTGAGAGAGAAAGAATGAGGGTGGCACATGTATGAAAATTAGCCTATCTATTAGTTTTGTCATCAATCCCTTCTTCAGCAATATGCCTAAAGAAATCAATCCACTATGATGTGAAAAACTTCTCTGTCTGTACTCTACAATCAGAAGTTTGGAATAATTAAGATTTGTTAATGTTGTTAAGAGTCTCTTATGCTCTCCAAGGCTACATTTATTTGATCAAAATACAATAAAAAAGTATTATTGTGAAATATTATTACAATTTAAAAGAATTGTTTTCTATTTGAATATGTTTTGAAATGCATCATTACTTCAGTCTTCAGTGTCACATGATCCTTAAGAAATCATTCTAATATGCTGATTTGGTGCTCACAAAACATTTATTATTATTATCATTCAATAACTAACAGTTCAATAATTAACAAACTTAAGTTTTTGTTGCTTAATATATTTTTGTGGAAATCGTGATTTGCACTACCTTTCAAAAGTTTGCGGTAAGTAAAATTCAAATTTCATATAAATGCTGTTCTTTTCAATTTTCTTTCATCAAAAATTCCTAAAAAAATGTATCATGATTTCCACAAAAAACGATTAAACTGTTTTCAACATCGGCCATTTTCGTCATGATTAATAACTGAGTGCTGATCATTTCTGAGCACCAAATCAGCATTGATTTCTGAAGGATCATGTGACACTGAAGACTAGAGTAATGATGCTGAAAATTCACAGGAATAACTTGCATTTTAAAATATATTAAAATAGAAAACTGTTATTTAAAATTGTAATAATATTTCACAATAATACTGTTTTAAGCAAACCGTAAATAGTTTATGTGGTTAAAAATTGGTTGAGACTCACCAGGTACCATCCCTGTGAGGGAGGGTGTGGAGTAACTACCCTGCCCAGTTGGAGGAACATGAGGAGGGTAACCAGGGAGCGTGGTGCTGGCCAGGTCACGACCTGTAAAGATAGAAAAAAGAGCATTTCTAGCATGATTAGCATCAACTCCATAGGGAAGACTTTATTGATCTAACTTGTCAGTGAGTCATTCCAATCACCACAACCATTTATGAAGCAATTTCTCCTATAATTGTTCAGTTAACTAGTCTTTAACCTTTTTATCCGCTTGTTAGTTGTGACGCAAAGGAATACTTTTTCCGGGTCCAAGCCTCTACTCCGTTTCAAGTGAAAATACTATATCAACAGACATTTATTAGCACTATTCATTTATAGCACAGCTTTAAAAAAAAAAAAAAAAAAAAACGTGTACAGGCTCAAAATTTTACCAGCACACGTGAGTGTATATTAGCACTGTTTGTGAGCATTTGGCAACGAAACCGATGACGTGTGAGGTCAGACTTAACAAACAGATTCTGATAAATATCCTACAATGAGTTTCTATGTGGAATCAACATAAAATAAATGAAATATTTTTTTGTAAATAAATACATAAAACATTTGAAAACAACAAAGGTCTGTCTTCACGGAACAAAGGTATTCTTGTTTTGATTCTAGTGTTACCACTCAGCATGGTTGGTAATCAGACCAACAGTATGAGTATGATATTGCTTTTATGCAACAGTGCAAAAAACGTTAATACTGAAATACTTTGTTACTTTGTGCATTTTTGTTCCACAAATGAAAAATTTCCAAATGAAGCCTAAACCGAATTGACAGTTGTTAGTCTCTGACACAGTAATGATGTTCCTAAATGAATCTGGCTTTTTGAACGAATCTGTTGAATAAATTATATTTAATGGCTCACTCATAAAGACAGTGCACTTTTCGCCACAAATTGGCGTATTAATATAACCTGCAGAACACTCAGGTTGGACTGTTACATCAGCACTCTTTGGAGCATTTTTATAATTGTGCATACATTTACGACCATTTTTCTTATTAATAAAGTTTCAATTAAAGACTAGTGTAATTTAAAAGCTGATATAGAAAGCGTTCACATTTCAAAGCCAATGAAACTTGGATCTATGCTGTAGCTTATTAAATCTGATAAGTGACATCTCATGAGCTTGGTAAACTAGCAACATCCTGTATAACCATTCTGATTAATACAGCCATCTTACTTTATGTCATATCACAAATCTGCCTTTGCCCCAGTAATAGGGTCTCTGGTATAATTATGCACTGATGTATGACAGGGTCTGGTTGTCTCTACTGTTAGTGTAAAAAAATACATGTCCCGTGTCACCCTCAGGCCTGAGAGGAACTAAAGAGAGAATCACGTCAGTGAAATTGAAAGGTAAAAAATGAAGCTCTTTAGGCACAGGTAACTGACTCACATGTGGCAACAGTCAATACCCTATATAGACTTAGACTATTAACTCAATTGACTATTGAGTTAATTAAAAAACAAACAAGGATGTATTACTGAAAATATTAACAAGAGATTTAACTTGTCCATTTCACAATGATCACTGGGCAGTTTCTAAATTTAATTCTCTCTCTCTCTCTCTCTCTCTCTCTCTCTCTTTCTGTTGTATGGATGTATAACTGTATTAGGCTACATGACATGGCTGTCAGAGTGAATCATCTCTCAGTCTGCACATGGTGCTGATCTGTAGACTGCAGCCCATTCATCATAATAAACACCATCACCCTCAGTTCATCCATCCTCTTCAACACAGCCACCATTTAAGCCGCTGTAGGGCCTGTGAGGTGGAGGGAGGCGAGAACAGAGTCAGAGGAGGGAAACCGAATACTTTATCAGAGCTTAAAAAACATGATAGAGAAGATGAGAGAATGAATAAGAGAGATTGAGGCAAGGTGGAGAATAACTCAGGGATGGAGGAAAAGGAGCATTAGGATGGGAAGAGGTGAAAAGTGTGGACAGGGAAATATTTCAAATACCCATTTTTGCGCAACATGAGTGTGTGACCTTTGGATAAAATAAACTCATTGTTCAGTTACTGTTTCTATGTTTGCAGTTATAAAGCGAATGAAATGTGTTGAAAATGCCATTATCACAGTTCACATAACAGTCAAGAAAACACATAAATTTTTAAAATATATTAAAGGTGCTAAATGTAACTTTTCTTCTAAAATGAATCCTTTTTTATTGCCTGTGTGTGAAGGGGTTGTAATCACACATTACAATGATCCACTTGTCGGGTTCTGCTATTACCTCTGAAAGCCAGTATTCCTATTTCTATGTGAAGTCTCCGGGTCTGCGAAATTCATCGGATGTGACTCTCTCCTTTTATATACAGTCTATGCGACGGCACTGCAGCTGACGACATGGAGTCTGATAACACCAAACAACGACCTGCCTCCAGCACAACACACACTCCAACACAAACTCCACATAAATATAAAAAACAAAACAAAAATGTATCTGCTGAAGCTCGTCAGGCCAAACGTGAATCGGATCGACTTAGGATGAAAACACGGATCAACATCGGCAGAGCGTTTGAATTATGGAGAGACCTTCGCTATTTTTATTGTGATAAATTACAAGTTTTCAGATATGCTGAAATAATGGTAAACTGTAATGAAATAGCAAGGTAAACAACAACATACATGAGACTTGAAATGAATACAAAAGACTGTTCCAGGATAACAAAAAGTAGGTGCTTTAGGAGGATGTAACTTTTATTTTATGTACTAGATCTACTGTCTAACGTCACTCATCCCACTACTATCATATTGTTTATAATACACATTTCCAGACACGTTCAGTACAGTAATGTTACTTCCTACGATCTTACTGTTACACTGACATTGTTCAGTCTAGTTCACCGTTTTCGTTATCATATTATACATTCACCTATGTTGACATTACTGATTGTGAAAGATACACGAATAGTTAGTGAAATGCCTTATTATGCTAACACCACATGTCGGCTAAATGCAGTCAATGTAACGTTATCATGGTACGAGCATGGAGCATTAGTTCAACGTCAAGCTGATAAAAGTAGCCTATTATTGTAACGTTGCAGTGGGAGTTTACATGAGTTTCCAGCATGTTGTGTGATGCTTTCTCCGGTTTGTTGACAGTCTCAGTGTGGCCGGTACCATGAGTGCTCGCTCTTGTGTTCTAGCATGCGCAAGAGCACAAGCGCTCTTGTAAAAATTGGTTGCAATCTGAAACATCACCGATAGAGGCCGCTAAAAATACATATAGCACCTTTAAAAAAGACAATAGATAGTTCCGGTCCTCGAATCTGATTGCTCTGATTGAGTTCCAACAGCACTGAAATAACAGTTTTTCTGCATGTTAGTAGCTCTTTCTGCTGGTTACATCATTACGTCGGTGGGTGGATGCAAGTGACTGTCTTTATGAGTGAGTCTACTGATTGTTCAAAAGCGCTAATTAATTCAAGAATGACACAAGGGAACTGTCTTTATGAATAAGTCATTGAATCATTCACTCAACAGGGGCTGGATTCACAAAACATTTTTCAAATTCTTCTTAACAGCCATTTTCCTTATATTTTCTAACTTAAGAATAGTTATAAAATAATATTTTGTTTTCTCAAAAAACATTTCTTTTTCTGAAAGAAGACTCTTTAAATCAATTATTGTAAATAACCTCTTAAAGTTAGAATATTATTGTCTTAATTGCTTAAATGAAAGATGTTTACTGAATTTATTGGGCTGTTTCGAATATCAAGGATTTTTTTTAAATAACACATATAAGAGGTACATAACACCAAAGTTATTTTCTTGTTAAGATTAAAATAAAATCAGGAACATTCTGACAAACTTCGTAGAATTTCTTAACTTCTCTCTTAAAAAGATTTGCATGAATCCAGCCCGATTCGTTTACAAACGGGAACGAAAACGAAACACCACCTACTGTGTTGCTCAGAGTTGCACAGTGGTTAGTTCTTCTGCTTTAACGTCATTTGAAACTATTTTAATTTACCGAACCAAAATAGACAAAGTAACTTGCAATATTGTTTCTAAAATGCAAGTTGCTAAATATTAACTGTTGTATAAAAGCAATATCACACTCAAAAATTATCCTGTTTTTCTGAATATCATGCCTTCGGCTGAATTGCAGTGATATTGCTTATTAGGGGTGTAATGGTACACGTATTCTTACCGAACATTTTTGTTATGTTCGGGTCGTATGTGTATCGAACGAATACAGTGTGTACTAAACTGTAAATGTTTAAAATTCATGCAAGTATTTCCATTTCGCATAAAGGATTATCATGACAGCAAGCGAGTCTACTGTATGTTTAACTTCGCAGAAACTGACAGACTACCATGGATACTGACGGACTTTAAACTGACAGACTTTTTTATTAAAAGACATAGTTTGTACGGTAAACCACTGTTTAATAAAAATAAAAAATTCTCCCACTGTACTGAAAATATAACGAGCAGCAAAACTGTAAAAGTTTCTAACATTTAAAATGTATATGTGACCACTTGCCCCAGTGAAAATGTACCTTGCCCAGACCTTACACAGTTACAGAGAGTCACACTCTCTCTCTGTTCTGCTGGTTGCCATGTTAGGGAGTTGTCCATGTTAGGTGACAGGAAGACATTAGTGAAGACTGGATACTAATCCACTCTGGGTCAGTGGACAGGGCAACAGCGAGGGACAGAGAGAGAGATGGACTCTTCAGAGGTAGAACAGACAAGGCCTCGTCCTCTGAGAGACATTGTCAGAAGAGAGAAGAATGAAAGAGGGTAGACAGGAAAAAAATGTTCTTGTCCAAAAGAGATCAAATCTGGGTCTGGTGGGTAGTTCACATGCTGTGACACATTGAGCAGTGGTGCTAATGTGGTCAATGCTAGTTTGAGTCCGGCTTGTGTCACCCAGAAAAAAACAACAACCATTCATTCATGTCTAATTGTATTTGCATGACTGTATCATTTGTAAATTGATTGAAAAAAGGATAGTCATCATAAATGTAAAGTATAATTTCATTTGTGACCTGCCAATAGGGGGCGCCATTATGCAAACATGAGGAACTCAATCCAGTCTTTTCACATGGTCCATTATGAGACAAGCTCTGCTTGTAATCCATTCTGGCTCTCTGTCCTTCTACACACACGCTCATACACACACACACACCGTGTAGATGTACAGGTTTCGCTCTACCTTGTCAGATGGTGCACAAATCCCAATTCCATGATTCCCTCGTTAGGGCTCCTGTCCAAGCAGCTCTTAATTAGCGCTCCCTTACTCCCAAATGGAGTGAGCTAGTAAGGGAGAGGAGGAGATGTGTATATAGTAATTACAGGTCTCCATCCACTCCCTCTGTCCCTTAGGAAATAGAGTCTGAATCTGAATCACTGAGCACTGTTTAACAGGTCTGATAACACTCATCTCACCCCTGGGCTGCCCACAGCAAGCTGAACCACAATCAGGTGGTTCTACTTCATGTTTGACACAGCTATTATAACAGGAAAGCCTTGCGGATCTCAGATCAGCACTTCAGCTGTTAGCAGACTGGAAGGAATGTAGTACATATCTGGCTTTTATTTATTTCCCAGAGGTTGATTTTTATTTTACTTTTCTTTTTGCTATAAAAAAAGGTCGCATTAACACTGCTTTAGAGAAATGCCGTACCATACCTTTGACAAGTTCCTTTTATATATAGATTTTAATGTTGTACCCTTATCCTAGACTTCCAAACTTAAACTCAAACTCAAAAGTCAAATTATGCAAATTGTGTGAAAATATTATTTAATTGTGGAAATTGGTCTTAGAACGACAAAGGTGTTGGCCATTTAATTTTAAAATGCAAAAAAAAAAAGTAACTTCCATCACAGAAAGCTATTAATTTGCTCATAATTTGAGATGTGGTGAAAATGACACTATAGTGGGAATTTTCATTACTCAGTAAAAAAAGAAACAATTCTTCCATGATGCATGTAAGTATACTGGTGGATGTTATTGGACAAATCAAATAAATAAATAAATAAATAAATTAAATAAATAAACTAATCTCACTTGTTTAATTAATTGTTTAGTATAAAACATGTTTTGACTAATTTAAGCCTTACCTGTTTTGCTTGTTGTCTGCATTCAAATGGCATTTATTTTTATTTATCCTCTAAACACAGCTATAGATGTACATAAACATTAATTACTTGTAGTTACTACTACTAGTTATAGAAATGATCAAATGTGATGTATGCCCTTTCTGAAAGTGTAACTTCCCAGATTTTCAACCCGCTTTGTATTGTTACAATGTCGGTAGTATGTGTAAATGAACAATATTTACTTGTTTACTGGGAACCAAAAGTAAACATTTACTCTTTGAATTCTTGGACCTGGGAACAATACAAGTTGGCACCATTATTACTAAAAGTTTGCTAAGAAGTATTTCCTACTAAAGCAAGGTGGTATTTGACTATGGTAAGTGTATCCATAGCAGACTGGTGGGAGTGGCCTTGGATGGCAACATGCCCAGTGAATTATGAGCATTGTTTTTCTACCTATTTGAGCCTATTTTTCAGGTAGCACCGATTTCAAAAAAGTTTCCGCCTTTCTATTGTATACGCAGCCAAGTTTTATTGAAAGCCCATTTTGCCAGCAGTCAAGTAACCCAGCTGGCATTTCAACATTTATTCACATGTAAATCAACATCATGGATCAAGGTTGAACCACTGTTTGTTTCGATTTTACAAATCAAATTAACATATCGCGATGATGTTTCAACATTAGATGTTTCAACATTAGTTAGAGTTTTGCACATGTAGTTTCAGTTGTGCTCACTGTCATTTAGCAATCGGAAAAAAAAAAACTGTAAAGGTTGGTCACATGCTGCTGACCGGGATGGGTTGCTTTGATAAGCAAACATCTGGAAAGAAGACAGAAGTGAAAACGACATGTTTTTTTTTTTTACATAGTTTGCTTACCGGACACTAGTGGATACGATTGAGGTCCCGCAACAGTGGAACCCAACTCTGCTCCTGTCTGATTGGACAAGCTGTTCTTCATCTCATCCAATCCACCAGCCAGAGATGCCATAGCCGAGTAATCAGACGTCTATGGAAACAGATTTCATTAGATGGCTATAATGGAAGAAAATCAACTTCATGCAATTGCTTTGTATGTTAACCCTTATCTGTGTGCGTGTGTGTGTGTGTGTGTGTGTGTGTTCTGCTCGCTGTTTGCATGTGTATCCAAAATATGATTCACAATTTGTGAATGACACACAGGTACATAGTCAACACTAATGAGTAGAGGTGGCACAGATTCAGGTGATGTATGTGGCCGACCTCAGACTGACCCCGCTTGTGTGCTTTCATGACCAATTACTTACAATGATCTCTGTCCCACCCCACACCCACAGTGATTTATCTCCATTGGTGGTAATGGGGTTTGTCACTCAGGTGTGGATGTGGTTTGATGGCAGAGTTTGGGAAGTGGATGTCGCTTCTGTTTTAGTGCAGGAGGAGGTTATTAATAACCCTGATTAGGTGTGAATTAAACTTCAACAAAATCCTGATGATACACCTGCCCCTGCTGTTACCGTACAGTCTGTGCTCTTATACTAGGGTTTGGAAATAATCTTTTTCAGAACTGATTCCATTTGGGATAAAAAGACAAAATACTTGAACCACATAATTTGATTTCAAGGTTGTGGCTTTAAACACATTTAAAATTTGCAGTCTTTCTCTTCAGGAAAAAAGTCAAAGAGATTCTTCACTAAAACACAATTCTTTGCTTTCATCAATTGTGATGTAACAAATATTCCTGTTTTTCTTTTCAATATATAGTTAGCTCAGATTATTAGGGGGAGGGAGTTTCCTCTAAATGACCTAAGAGAATTGTTAATGGAACCATAATTCTTTACTAGAATTACAACCGAAAACCACAGCTGTTAAATTCCTATCTAATACACAGGGTAAGCAGGATGTTTGTTTGTGTTTGTGTATGAATGTATGTGTGTATCCCAGTGACCCCTTAAACACCTCAGTGCTCATCACCACGGCGAGGGCAGTAGACTGTGACCTTACCAATCACAGCTCACGCCGTCCACTTCCTCTCTCTCTCTCTCTCTCTCTCTCTCTCTCTCTCTCTCTCTCTCTCTCTCTCTCTCTCTCTCTCTCTCTCTCTCTCTCTCTCTCTCTCTCTCTCTCTCTCTCTCTCTTTCTCTCTTTTCATCCCTGACTCCTTCCCACTGTCTATTTCTCTCTGTTTCAGTCATTCAGTCTGAGATAGGCATTTCCTCTCTATTTATGCAGCTCGCACCCACCCCCTCATCATGTGTGTATGTAGATGGGAAGGTTAGCGCTAGTAATTGGGGATTATGAAGTTTGGCCCTACCTCTGACAGCAGCCTAGTGAAGATGGATGATTCTCATTTTAGCCTGTAAATGTTGTCAATTCTGAAGCTACGCAACCCATCAGCGACCATGATGCACACACACACACACATTTCACATATAGACGTGGCACACACACACCACAGCTGGGGCAAAGATTGGAGCGAGGCCAGACGTAGAGAGAGGATAAGGTTGGGAAAAAATGGCTGTTAACAAGGAATGGAGTTTGTAAAATAAATTGAGATGAAAAGAAGAAAAAAAGGGTAAAAGAGAAATACCAACAATTTTTTTTTTTTTTTTATTGATTTTGACTAAATAACAAGCACACAGCCTTTCTGAAACTTCCATTTTAACTGTATTCCTTGTTCTCACGATTTCTCTCTGGGGTCACAGTTTTCTCGGGGGTCGTTTTTGACACAGGCCCTCTGTAATGGCTCTCCTCTTCGCGCACATCAATAACAGATGAGGCCCCTAATCGCGCGACACCAAAATAATTTCACCCCAACCCGCAGCCACATTTACATAATAGTATTTCCTCTCAGATGCTCTTTCTCTCTTCCATTCCCTCTATCTCCCTTCCTCTATTTTTCCCTCAGCTTGTACGCATTGTCTCCTAGAAGTGCCTGTAAACTGCACTATGTGTGTGTGGGACTGAGACAGAGTGATGGGGGAGGTATTTAGCAGTGCATGCAGTATTAAATGAGCCTGACTGGCAGGGAGGCATTTATTGGTGAGCTCCTCTGGAGCAAAGAGTCGCGGCTCTCAGCATGTATAACACACACACACACACACGATTTTAAATGCTTTATTTGAGACAACGTTGTTTCCATACCTTTTTGGATAAATATTATATTTAAAGGCACAATTACTCCAAAAATGAAAATTCTGTCATCATTTACTCACCCTCATTCCAAACCTGTATGAATTTATTTCTTTTGAGAAACACAAAAGAAGATATTTTGAAGAACGTTTTAGCAGTTTTTGTCCATAAAATGAAAGTGGGGTCCAAAACTACATTGGACAACAGTGTATTGCACAGTATCTTCTTTTTTGTTTTGCAGAAGAAAGTAAGTCATACAGGTTTAAAAAGACTTGAGTAAATGACGACAGAAAGTTTATTTTTGGGTGAACCTTCCCTTGCCAGCGCTGTTATACAAATGTTATGCAAGTTATACAAACTGTTACTAAGTGTTGACGGTGTGTAATTTTAAGTAACAATTTTTACATGAGCACACTTAAGTTTTCTTTTTTTATTATTACAGTAGAAAGAGTATGGGAAATGATAGAGAGAATAGGATCAGGACACAGTGCAAACAAGACTCAAACTCATGTCCTCCAAATGAAGGGCTTTCGCGCCGAAGGAACCTTCTCATAGTTCCTAACTATTGGCGGAAGTGCCTGCTTTTTGGCGTGTTCACACCACAGGATCTGGGGACGATTTTAGTTCCAGGAACACCTTTTGGGGAACTAAATTAGCAATAGCTCCTACTTCAGAGTAGGGTCTAACCCACCACAGAAGGAACTACCTGTGACGTAAGTGTGCGCTGAATGGCCAAACACATGCGAAACACCAGCACCCGCCATTAAAAAAAAAAAAAAAGCTGTGTACACACACAGATCATAACCTATATATTTACTCCACAAACTAACTCTACGAACATGGAAAACGGCGATAGATGGACCTCTCAACCTTTACACTAAAAAGAAAATCCAACGCGACTTTTAGGGGACCAAGCAAAACATGATTATGTGTTTGTGCTCAGCTAGCAACATTGGGCATCAACCACACTGCAAACGCTAATACTTTTTCATATACTGTCTACTTTCTTTGTATAACACAATTCTATCTAATAACATATTAGACAGGACTGTTAAACAGATTGTAAACTAATGAAGATGGAGAATGGGAGCACTGTGAGCTCAGGCTCTGGCGTTCTCAGCGCCGTCAAAATAAAAGTCCTCTGCACTATCAAAATGAAAGTCACAACAACAAGCACGGCTTACGTCACTTCAGAGTTACTACTGGCGGTGCGAATGCAACCAGGAAAATGGTTCTAGGGGAACATTTAGTTCTCGGGGAACTACCTTGGTGGCTAGTGCCTAGAACTAAGTTTCTAGAACTACCTGGTGCGAAAGGCCCTATACACTCATGGCTCAGTAACTGCTATGGTGCACAGGACTGAGCACCTGCTTGTGACATGTGCAACACAGGTTCAACGTGCCTATGGCTAAATTTCTGCAAAATTATATCATTATATCACGACACTCTCAAAGTGAAATGTCCTATGAGTGGTGCTAAAAGCATGTTCAGTTTTATCGGTAACAGATGTGAACACATTTCTTTAGTTGTTAGTTTTGTTACTTGTTTTACATACTGTATCACAGCAGTTAGGAAATGAAATGTCCGGTGAGTGGCGCTAAAATATTAATGCTCGATTGCATTTGAAACTAACATGCCACCTACGCTAAACCCTACTCTATACCTAAACCGATAGCGTTAACAAAAATGTAAAATAAAAATGCATTTGCTGAAGCAACCATGCCAATTCAGCTTGCTTCTACAAGCTCTTTCATCATGACTTGTGTTACACAGGACACGAGTGCAATGCTGTACCAGGTGAGCTACCAAGCAAGTTTACTACATCAAAAAATCTATACATATGGAGCTGAATATGTGAGGCAAATGTATTAGTTTACAAATCATGCACTATGGGTAATTGTGTTTTGAGGTCATAACATAGTAATGTCATAACATAGTAAAGTAAGTTTTTATTAATTGATAATCTGCCCCTTGTAATCATAATTTTGCGAAAAGGAATAAAAGTTGTTGTTTTTTTACTGCCACTATGTTGATTTAAGATGGAAACTGCAGTAAATTGTATTTATAGTTACATTTTTGGAGTTTTGCAAAAATGGAGGCACATAACATTGGACATGTATGTATTGGTTTGAGTCTGACCTGCGTCATGTCCCATCCCCCATATATTATCCTTAATCTTGTACTTTTGCTATACTTTCATAATATAAAAGCAAAAGCCCCCAAAATGAAAATGCTTTGGCCTGCGAGTCAAACACAACTGCATGCATTTTTGCTCTGATCTCTTAATATTTTCTATTTACCTCTAAAGTTTGTTTTTATGAATGAATATTTTCCAGTGCCTTTATCTCTCTAGTCTCTTGGTCTAGCTGAGTAATTAGTTCAGTGTAAGGGTTGTTGGACTGTTGATGTATCTTTGGCATAATATAAAGAGAAGGAAAGAGGAAATTCAAATGAAAAGACTCTCACGAGCGTGCAGTTTTATATGCTCCCCCTTGAAGTGCAGGACACTAATTAATAGATCTGCCCATGCTTAATGGTCCTTCTAGCACCACAAACTGAGAGATGGAGAGAGGGTGCGGGAGGGGAGGATGAAAGATGAAAAAATACATTTCATCACTATAGATATAGCTTGAGGGTAAATTTATGGGTGGAGAGAAAAGAGAAACATTACGTTATGTTTACCATCACAGCAGATGCTTTCATACCACATCGACTTTACAAAGTATATAACAAGCAGATTGCTAAGGATATTAGATTCATATTAAAGGGGGGGTTGGGGTCATATCGTACATTTTTCCACTTTTAATTAATAATAGTAAAATTAAAAATAGTCAAGTATTTTGCTTCATATATTTTGCTGAAGAACTCATTCTAATTAAATAGGTATTTAATATTTTTTTATTTATTAATTTATTTACTTTTTCCTTGCTGTGTATATAAGACTTCTGTTTGATCCAAGGAGGTATATAATACATGGAGCTTTTTTATCTTGGTGTAACTTGCTCAGCCATCATATCATCCTCACCTGTCCACAGCACAGTCACACAGGATTTGTGAATGGACACTCACATATACAGATTTTTGAGCCAATCATCTGAGCCATAAATATCATGTGACCAATTACTAATTGGCAATAGGAATTATGCTGCCTTTACGTGGTATCGGAATTATTGTAAATATGAATTTCCTAGTCGGAAATTGGACATGAATGGACTCGCACGTCGTATAAACTTTGGCACAGTTGAGAACTATTGCTGTAGTGACTGTTAAGTTATATTCTTTTTTTTACACATCTACATTGCTTTATCTTGCCATTATTACAGTCATGTATATTTACATATATAAATAACCATTTGATGCATGTTGTATGCATTTTATACAGCAGAAACATTTATTTGATCTTAGAAACGCTCTTAGAAACTATTCCAACTTGCAGATTTTACATTAGATTGAAAGATTTTTCAGAAGCTTAGTGGTGGTGACGTTGAAGTCATGTGACCATGGTGTAGTTCATCAATAGACTAAATGTAGCTTTTTACCTCTGGCGATTGTATTAGGCTTCATAAAAACTTTGTTCATTTGCAAGGATTATATGAACGACCTGTGTAAGATGAACTTGTTGGTCACAAAGTTATTTTCTGCAATAATCCAAAAGCCAGTGGGAAAATCCTATTTGCTTTTTGTCGAAGGAAACAGAGTGATGCTATTTCCGGGTTGGTCTAAAAAATATATGTCATCCTGCAGAATGGATGGATGGGTGGATGGATGGATGAATATTACTACTTCTAAATGGCTGAAAGACAGACTGTGCCACCATGAGGTTTAGTTACAACATCTAAAAGAAAGGTTTAACATGTTGGATTTCTGACATCAGAAAGTTGCAGAAGTTTGGAATAAGACTAGTTTTTCCTTGAAGACTTGAAGTTTGAATTCTGAAAGTTGCAGTTCGTTTTCATAGTACTCTTATTTTAAGGGAAATTCAAATATCATGATTTGACTTAAAATCCGGTTGATTTTGGTCATATTAAATCAAATTCATTCATTTTGATGTCACTACATGAAGCACACTTTTACCTTATCTAAGAAAAATATGAATGGTGTAATCACACCATTGTTTTTATAATTGAGCCCTTATGTAACCGAATCAAAACAGCAGCTACAGGGGAAAGGACTAAATCAAGTCTCAAGTTCATTTCCTGCCTCTGGTAGACACAAACACACTTAACAGATTCGAGCTCTCTATCATTTCTCTCTCCTTCAGCAACATTTACAGGTTAGACTGTCAGCGGAGGGAAAACAACCTGCCAGTCAATCACCTAAGACCGCTTAGCATATACCTCTCTCTTACAATCTAATTTCTAAAAAAAGAGACAGCTCCAAATTCCCAGTTCTCAGTTTGTCTGATCGTTTGTGCCACAACAAACCTGACTCACACACACACACCCAGGGGATGTGGATTGACCCTAGGGTTAATGCCCTGCTCAGTAGCCTTTGACCCTGCCAGCCTCAGCGCTCAGTGGTGAAATGGACAGAGGAATTATGGGGTCTTTCAGACAAGTCTATAGAACTCTGACACTGGCCTTGTGTGTGTGTGCCTGAATGAATGTGGGGGTGATAGCATTTGACTTTTGAGTGACATCTTTGACTGACTATTCTTGTGGACAATTTTTAAGCAATGTGATCGTTTGTTTGTGCATGCAGCTGTACTTTTGCATCTTATCTGCTATGTGTTAGCATTTACACAAACCCAGCACTGACCAGAATGGAGACGACAGGCCCATATTGATCCAAAGGGATTCCCCTCTCCAAAAATGGTAAAAAAGTGTTTGTCTAAAACGCTGTGGCAGAAATATTCTATTCACAATTTGGCCAGTCCAGTGAAGTCACACTATTCTCAGATCATTTGCTTTAAACTGCAACTATTGTCATCATGTACCCTCCCTCATGTCGCTCTAAACTTAGGTCACTCTTTTCAGAATGTCAAAGCTGCTATTTTTCATTCAATGAATGTGCAGTAGCTATCCAGTTTATTTGCAATTAAACACTACCGGTCAAAAGAAAAAAATATTTTAAAGCTGCATTTATTTGACCAAATATACAGTAAAACCAGAAAAACACACAGATTTTTCAAATCTATTTGAATATACTTTTAAAATGTCATTTATTCCTGTAATGGCAAAGTTGAAAATTCAGCAGCCATTACTTCAGTCTTCAGTCACATGATCCTTCAGAAATTATTCTGATATTGCGATTTGGTGCTTGGGTGATGATTTATGTTATGTTTTATCTCAAATATGTGAGTGACCCAGGACTGCCACTAGTGCCTGTTTAAAAATGACGTGGACAGCAGTTAAAAAAAATAAGCCTAAAAGCTCACTATAATATACACTAAATAAAAACTGAACATTTATGACACCCTCATCTTACAGTATGAAATATTTTTTGATGATAATAATTGCAGAATGTATCTGATGTGTGGACATAGAAACATAATTCCATGTGTGTGAGTAACTTTTGCAAGCTAATAAACAAGTGTTTGCTACTTAACCCTAAACCTCTACACATTGCTGGGACTTAACCTCACCCTAAAACTCGATAGAGGACAGATCAGCACCAGCAGGGTCAAGGCCCCAGAATTAGTTTAAAGAGGTGAAAGGTCAGCATTAGCTTCAGTGTGCGGGCGCATAGGTCAACAGCAGGGTTGGGACAGGGTCAAGCAATATTGGCAGCCAGGCAAGGGCAAGCGTGAGTTTTCAGAGGAGGTGCACACAACCACCGTGGCAGGATACACGCCCCTACCCCCCAGCCCTTACCTGGGCGGGCTTGTAGCTGATGCTGTCAGGGACGGGGTAAATGTCGGGATAGGGCTGTCGATCAAAGACATGGTCCAATACCTCGAGCTGCTGCGGCGTAAAGAGCTCTCCTCGCATCTGCTTCCGCAGGAAGTCCCGCCCTGAATGGACGTGGCCATTCGCCAAAGGAGAATCCTGTAGAGCTGGAGAGAGATTCACACAGATTTCATGAAGTAGTAATAATATACAAAGTAAAATTTACAAAAGTAGGACATTTAAGAATAAGAGTGCATATTAAGCACAAGCCCGTGTTTTGGAAGTAATAATAATAATAAACCAACTTACAATAAGGTTCTATACATGAATTGACCATTATTTTGTTTATTGTTAATTCATAATGTTAACATATGGGTGCTTCAACTTCAGGCACTTTTATGTGCCAGGGTTTGATTTTTATTTAAACCAATAGATTTCAACTTTTCTTTAAGTTTAAAGGATCCTTTTATTATTTATTTTAGCTAATTTTCAAATGGCTTTTAAGTTTAGATTTTATTGTTGGAGTCTTGTCCCCAGCCTTTTAATAATATAATAAAAATTCAAATTCATCATAAAAAATATTATTACATTTTTAGAACTATGATAATCTAAACAAAAGTTGAATAATTTCTGTAAATATTTCAAATATTACAGCTGTCCATTAGTTTTGACGTCATTTCCACCACACCGAACAATTCTGCTCCTATAAAAAAAAATTAAAGTACTTGTATGCCAAGGAAACAACAGTCAATAAAAAATATGCTTGAGATGAAAAATGAGACGCCTAATAATGAAAGTAAGCACATACCTTGAGCAGAATATTTGGTTTCACTTTATTTTGATGGTCCCTTTAACACATTCTGTTGTCTATAAGTAACGTTACACCTATATGTCTACTAACTCTCATTAGAGTGTTAGTAGAGTATTAGTAGACTGGTAGGGTTAGAATAAGTTGGCATGTGCTTGCAAAGTTACTTACAGTCAGTAGAATGTCTTTTGATGGAGCATCATAAAGAGTTAGCAGATATTAAGCAGACAGCCTACTAATACTCTAATGAGAGTTAGCTGACATGTAGTTGCAAAGTTACTTTAGTCAACAGAATGTTTAAAAGGGACCATCAAAATAAAGTGTTACACAATATTTTTATTGACACCGTATCCAAGCAAAATGTCATTTTGTCAAATTATGCAAAAAGTGTGACAATATTATTTGATTTTGTGTAAATAGTTGAAACAATATTTTCCATAGGAGAAAGACAGTCATAAAGGTTTAGAATGGCATCAGGGTGAGTAAATGGGTGAACTATCCCTTTAACTGTTGACTTAAATAATGGTACCAAACTGTCTTACAAGTCAACCACTTTAATCTCATTTGTTTTAACATAATCGTGAGGATCTGAAACTCTATAGCTGCATCCTAAATTGTATAGGCTACTCTCTATGTAGTATGTACTACATGTACCTATATAAACTTACTTTTCAACCATTAAAAACTGTGCCTATACTACATTCGCCAATTGTCATGTTACCATTGTCATGTGACCTATGGCATAATTTGCTTTGCCATTCATGACTTCTCTCCCATGGCCTCATGGGATAGTAAAGTGTCCATTGGATGCACACATCAGAATCTCACCATAGTAAGTCATTCGGGTACTTTGCCCTACTATTTTATGATCACTGCGAATTTGGACATACTTCTCATTTCACTTCAGTTTTTTGCCTGCTATATAGTAGGGAAGGGGAGATACGGGGCCTGACTTATGTTCCTTATTACATGCTGGGGGGGAAATTATAATAGTGATTTATTTCTCTTTCTCATCATGATCATAAAGGTACTTGAACTTTTTTCAAAACCAACAGACAGAGACTCAAGCACACGTACAGGCACACAAACAGATTCCTGGACTTGCGTCCTCCTCTCTGAGCGAGTGTTAAGGCAGCGTGTGAGTCAGTTATTACTGGGCTGTTGAGTTTCTGAAGAGACAATTATAAGAGCTGAGAAAGCTACAGCCCTCAAATGATTACAAGGTGAGAAAAGAGAGAGAGAGAGAGGGGGATGAAAAAGAAGAATAGAAACGAAAATCCCTGATATAGAGCCAATTCATTTCTTCAAAATGCCTCTGAGAGGTTATTCTAGGGAGTTTGAGTCAGAGGCCAGAGCAATCCCCACAAAACGAGAAAGAGAGAGATGGAGGGATAGAAGGATAAAATTACAGGCAGACAAAGCCGCTATCCTAACATTCCTTTTTCCTCCTTCATTTGAACACAGAAATCGATCCATTTGAATGTGAATTCAGATCCAGTTTACTGCCGCCTGCGGTTATTTAAAAGAAAGATCTGCTAGTCACTGACTCGCTGATGGCGTGAAGGTCCCATGTGTCTCTAATACACCTCAACGCCAGGACTTACTTAAATGCTCTCTCTCTCTCTCTCACACACACACACAGAACGCACAGAGAGTGTATGATCTCCAGTGTTTTGACCCTCTTAATCCCAGCGGTCAGTGTGTCTGATAGAATTCAATTGATCAATCATGTCTGTGAGATGGCACCATTTCAGCAGGTTTATTGCTTTCCACTCTTCTCAAAGACTGTCCACTGACGGCACACACACACACACAAAAGATGGCTGAAAGGTTGGATCTTGGGTTTTTTAAAAAGGGCTGTTTGTAAACCGCAGCTCTCTGGCGTGTTTGTGTGCTTTGCTTATATTTGTGCACATGGTTGTTTATTTATGCATCAGTAGGGATTAAAACATCTGAGACCACTAGTGAAAATGCATTTATTTAGCATTCTAATTTCATACAACATTTGCCTTATTACAAATTGTACTATCAGATAAATATTGAATTTACATGAAATTCAGAATTTCTTTGTAATTGGGTTATCCCCTTTTCCTTCAGAGACAGCAGCACTCAGGCTTGCATAAATTCCACAAATCCACAAGTGATTAATTATATTATATATTATATTATATATTCTTCTTTTTTTTTCATCATAACTTTCTGTTGTGTTTCAAAATCCTAATCAAAACCCTTACAGGTTTCAATAAACCAAGTCTTAGATTTCAATCCCACTGAAACATCTATAAAGATGCAGTCATATTAGCGAAATTTCACAAAGCAAAAAAATGCCTATTGTCAAAAGTGTAGCGATGTATGAAGCACAGCTCACACAGAAGTCATATTCAAACCAAGCAGCTCTCTATTGGTCAACGTGGCCGACTTGAACCCATTACAAAATCTGTGTGGGGAAATCTTTTGCCCTCATGCGAAATCCCCAATCGCATGGATTCCTAATTGAAGTTACTGGATTTCACCAGCAAAAATGTGAAGAACAACAGCAAATGTGACTGCACCTTAGACGTAAGAACGTATGCCTATTGTTTCTTCCAGAGCTTCAGGCGTCCACAAACATATCTTAAAACATAGCCATTGAGTGTCAAAACATTGTTATGGACTTTTTTTTAGTTGTTATTATTACACAGATACGTGTTTATCTGTGACTGTTTGCGTGTATGTTATGCGTGTAACTCTTTCACAGTGTCAACCACCATGTGTGAAATGCAATTTCAGACACATCTGGAAGCCCACTCAGCCATATCAGAGCAAAAGAGAGACAGAAAGAAGAGAGGTCGCCAATATAGCTATTTTTCACCAAATTTAAACAAACACACCATCCCAGCATCACGGTTAACCAACCTTCCTCGTGTTAAGTTTCAAACCCCACAAACCCACACGCACACAAACAGTATCATTGGTCTTAGGTATTCAGATGTTCTCTGGCCTTTTGTCTTTCAGCCTCTGAACCTGCTATAGGGAACCACTCTCTGTAACCAGACACAATACAGCCCAGCTGCATTCAGGGTTAACCCCACTATTCACACACACACAGAAGGAGAACGGAGGAGAGGCATCTTCCTTGCTTCAAAAGCAGAGACAATAGCAACAATGAGATCACCGTTGTGCCCCCTCAGTCTTTTTCTGTCTTCCTCTCTCTTTCTCTCAGGGGTGAGGTTGAAGGTTTTTGGGGCAGAAAAAACTGTTTGGCTGATTTCTTATGCAATTGATACACTTTGTGTGTGTGTGTGTGTGTGTGTGTGTGTGTGTGTGTGTGTGTGTGTGTGTGTGTGTGTGTGTGTGTGTGTGTGTGTGTGTGTGTGTGTGTGTGTGTGTGTGTGTGTGTTCGTGTGTGTGTGTGTGTGTGTGTGTGTGTGTGTGTGTGTGTGTGTGTGTGTGTGTGTGTGTGTGTGTGTGCGCGTGTGCCAACCTTGACAGATCAAAGTATAAGTCTCTGAAAGGAGGATACCAACCTTTAACAAATCCCACTGTTATCATCTATCCCCTATCCTCCCTCTCTCTCTCTCTCTCTCTCTCTCTCACTCCCCCTCTCTTTCAGAATCCCCCCACCTTATTAAAAATTTCCCCTATCTTCCATTCAGAATATTCCACAGAATGAACGAGATAAAAATGACTGAAATGAAACTGGACAAGAAGTGAACATATTAAACGGCAGAGGAAATCAAGTCTGTCCTGATGATGTCCACTGCCGATGCAAACATCCCGGTTTGGTTTGTTAAATTGAACAGAATAACAACCATCAATTTGCATAATTTTTCTATTTTACTTTTTTTTTCCCCTTCACTTTTTGAAGTTTTTACATTAAAGGAAGGTTTCTTTATTGTTTCAGGGGGCAAAGAACATTGTCCGACCCCTCTGCCCCGTACCACAGGCCTCCTGTCTTTCTTTATTCTATTTCTCCTTTCCTCCACTCCTCCCCTCGTCCATTCCTCCTCCGTTCTTAGAGAATGGGCAGACACAATGCTTCTGTTCTAGAGGCCCCACGAGTCAAGTTCTCTCTTTCAGATCACTTCCCTTGGGTCAAAGGGCATCAGTGGGCTTTCCCCAAACACACACACACACACACACACACACACACACACTAAGCCATCCAAACCCTCTGCCACTTCCTTTCCTGCTTGTGTGCAGCTGGAAATCATAGTGTCTTGCTTCACTAAACATGTATTTTGTCTCCCTCTCCCTTTTTGAAAGCATTACCACTCAGCATAGAAATTCCTAGTATTACATAGATGCAATTTACCGAAGTGCATGAAAAACGTCTTTATTTAATTTCTCGCTTTTGCGGCCTGGGTATCGATAGAGATTTCCCAATTCATGTTTTTCTGAAAGTTGAATAAAAGAAAGAAAGAAAGAAATTTCCCAATTCAACACTGAAGCTCTAAGTTTGACTGAAATTCATTTGGGTATATTTCAGTTATAATGTCCGTTTTGCAAACATATATAAGAAATTATCTCTCTGCTAATGCTGTATATTATACAGGACAGTGATTCAGACTGATTGAAATGAGTAACTGGTCTTTTATTTAATTAAAACAACCGGCTAACAAAAGTCAATCATTTTCGGAATTGAGCTACTCTGGTTGCGCTGTGTTTTTGATTCACTAAAAAGAACTGGTTCATATGACTCATTCGTTTTAGGAATCGGTTTACACTTTTGAGTCATTTGTATGTAAGCATGTGCAAATTGGCCTGTTTGTTATACAGAGTTTTGGCGGTGTTTGTGTCTGTGTGAGAAATGTAGTCATTTGAAAAATGTAGTCATTGAATGCATTTTGTGCCAAACCAAATCCACAATTTAGCCCACATAGACTGCTGTTGTGCTGAGTTTGTGAAGAGGTTTGAAAAAGTGACCAAAATATTGAGAAATGGGTCCTATCTATTTGTAATAGAACTGAAAATCACAATCTGTAAATAGTCCATCCTACTCTTTCTCAATTTTACAAAATCATGACCACGCTCCTTAACATGTGTCTTATACTTCTTAAAATTTGCAAGCAGTGTAGGTTACTAGCTGCCAAAACTATCGCTCATGTTATAACAGACATAACAGACATTTATGCCTTTAGCAAACCCATGAGAACGTCCCTCGCAGCGAGCGTGCAGACATACTCACACACACACTGCAAAACATCACAGCACTGACCACCCGCAGTTTCACCACGTCAATTAAACACACAAATTCATTTAGTCGCCCCTCCCTCCCTGCTGGATGTGATGTGTTGCATTAATTAAAGTGGCAGACGTCAGCCTAATTGGAGCTTGGATGAACGTTGGTGTGTGTGTGTGTGTGTGTGTGTGTGTGTGTGTGTGTGTGTGTGTGTGTGTGTGTGTGTGTGTGTGTTCAGCTAAGCCAGTAGTCAGCTTACAAAGTTGCATTGCATCTATAGTTTATGCAGTTGCCTTATGCAGTTTATGCAATTTTAACTTGAGTATTATTGTATTATATATGTATATGTGTATGTATGTATATATATAGATATAGATATATCGTCTGTCAAAACATTTATTCTACATATTTACATATATATTATTGCTAAACTGCAAAATGAAAGTGTACTAAAATAGAAACGAATCTTCTATTGTTGATGTCTGGTATTTCATAAGTCATATCGTGTGTGAGAGTATGTGGGTGACATCTGGAGTTCCCTCATGTACTGCAGGGGTCTGCCAAGCAATGGCTTTTTAATAGACATGTGTGCAAACACACACATACACATGCACATCCACATGCACACACTGTGCCTCCCCTGGATAGAGATGTTTATCTAAGACGTGCCAGCGGTGTCCAATCCCCCACCTACTCTGATGCATCTGTCAATGTTCAGCAACTTCCATCTGTGCTCTGTGTGTGCTTGTGTGTGTGTGTGTGTGTGTGTGTGTGTGTGTGTGTGTGTGTGTGTGTGTGTGTGTGTGTGTGTGTGTGTGTGTGTGTGTGTGTGTGTGTGTGTGTGTGTGTGTGTTTATTAATATGACATTGTGCATAAGAAAGAAAGAAAGAAAGAAAGAAAGAATGAACGAACGAACGAACGAACGAAAGAAAGAAAGAAAGAAAGAAAGAAAGAAAGAAAGAAAGAAAGAAAGAAAGAAAGAAAGAAAGAAAGAAAGAAAGAAAGAAAGAAAGAAAGAAAGAAAGAAAGAAAGAAAGAAAGAAAGAAAGAAAGAAAGAAAGAAAGAAAGAAAGAATACATGGTGTAATTGAATTTTTGTTCTGTAATTGCTGGTATAAATAATGTCTCATTAGTGTCCTGCGTGAAATAAACTCCCTCAGTGCAACAGCATGAATAACACTTTAAGCTAAGTTTAGAGTAGATTTTCTGTTCCCGAAAACAAAGCGCACACATCGACTTACTTTCATCTCTCTTCCGCTTGCTTGCATCGGCAGGTGAGCTAATTCCCAGAATTCCACTGATAGAGTAGGAGGAGCCTGCAGTGTCACTGGTTACTGAGGATACCTGGGTCACTGCCACTGTAGAGGCTAGAAAGTTACAGAGAGGTTATGAAGACCACAAATGTCCCAAAACAAAGTGCTGCTCATTGCGCTGACAGGACATTCACATTGGAAAGAATATACTGTGATAAAGAAAAATCTTTCAAAAATCTAGTTTAAAATGATTACACATTGAATATTTGTACACATATAAATCATTATTTTCATTATACTAACAATTATTTTTTTATTAGCATTTTACAATTATAACCAAACTAATCTTGCTTTGTCATAAAAAAGTAAAATTAACTGACATTTGAAAGGATTTATTAAACTGCAGGTGTCCTCTATGTAATTTATTTTCTTTTTACTCTGTATCTTGGTTGTACCACATGAATTGTTTGGTTGCACAACATGACTTCAGACAAAAAGTTTTTCAAATATTAAAAACCTGAGTCCATTTCTTTTTTTATACAACATTCTTCAAAATATATTTCTTGTTTTCCACAGAAGAAAGAAATGCATACAGGTTTGGAACGACATGAGGGTGAATAAATAATGACAGTTTTTTTGGGTGAACTATTCCTTAAATAAAGCTTTCTTTTCAAGAATATTATTTGAATAATTGTTTTTTTCTTTGTTATAATAGCAGGACAGTACCTCTCTAACATTTTTACTTTATGCCCCAAAAATATATCCAAATTTTAAATTAAAATATATTATTAGTTCAAAAAGACAATTAGCATCATGTCATCAACCCTTATACATAAATCGCTCAGAATTTGTAATATGAACTATTATCCATTAATATGTTGTATTGAACTGGTGTAACCTGCAGTATCATCTTCCATTTTTAGGATTTCCAGGTAATGCATGGAATGGGAAAGTGTGTATCTGTGTAAATATCTCCGGACAGAATTGGGTTTTATGTGATTCTAGCCTCTGCCTAGTTAAAGCTTCCAGCCCAATGTTTTTTTTGTTGATGTGTGTAGTGTTTTTGAGTTTTGTTTTTCCTTTCGTGGTTCTTGGCCCAGCGTTTTCCCTGTTAAAGACCTTTCACCAAAAACCGCTGTCACTCTATTCTAGCAGTGTGCTGCCGCCCAAGGATAAGATGCTAACAAGCTAACAGCTTTTCGACATGTCTGGCTGTCTGTGAGGTCTTGGCAGTAAGGGACGAGGACACAAAGTCTTCTCTCTGTCAACCCTTCATTCTCTCTCTCTCTCTCTCCTCTTTATCTCACTTCCTGTCAGCTGACGTACAGCCTGAGTGACAGTACAGTGGCCCCAAGGGGACACTAAGGTGTAGAGATGAGGCTAATCCCACATCCCAACAGACTGTGCTAAAATGGAGAAGGTGGGAAAAAAGAAAAACAAATCGCTCGGAGAAAAGATAAACGCCTTTGCTCGCCCGCCGCTCTCGTTTGCTAACCAGGTGGAAAATGTAATGAATGCATATCCATCCATTTTTTACCCCTGATTTATCGTTTCAATTATCTGATTCTCTTATTCTTTTGCACTTTTTTTCCCCTCACGTCAAGGAATGGAAACCCGAAGCGTGCGCTTTATATTCAAAATCCCTAAATTTCAATTTTCCGCCTGAGTATGAGAACTATTTATCATCATAATCTGAAGGAGACAGAGAACTGGCAAGCGTTGTGCGTGTGAAATTAATTTAGATTAAGCGGAGGTGTGCGATTATGAAGATTACTGACAGTGAGACAAACACAGTTCAATAGTTTATTAACTGCCGACGGGAGTTTTCCTCTTTAACTGGTCTCAGACCATTTTTAGAGAATTCCCCTTTGGTTTTTGGAGGCGGCATTTTGAGTGTCAGGGATTCAAGGATGTAATCAAACGTTGAAGATTAAGTATATCTAAATGTAAATGTTTCAAAATCTCAAATCTCAGTCCCCCTCAATGCCTATGGCATTGGTATACGACACTGCCTAGATAAGTTTCATAGGGTGACTGACTGGTATGGTGAAACCTTCAGGGAATAAATGAAATTAAATAGAGAGTAAATTGATACGTTTGCTAATAGGTTGTTTGATTCTCAGATTTCTTCTCACATGATCTCACATGCATCTCCTTTCAACAATGTCTCAAATTGTGCTCAGATTTGCCAAGATAAGTCTGCTATGTAACAAATTTCACTTTATTTTACCATATTGTCTATGCTATCCAAATTCATTTTATTGCTTTCTAACTGCAAACTACTGTTCAAAGGTTTGGGGATTTTTAATGCTTAATTATTATGATCATTTATTTGATCAAAAGTACAGGAATATTGTGAAATATTATTACAATTTTAAAAAACTCTTTTCTATTTTAATATATTTTAAAATGTAATTTATTCCAGTGATGGTAAAGCTGAATTTTTTTAGCGGCCATTATTCCAGTCTTCAGTCACTTGATCCTTCAGAAATCATTCTAATAAAGTGTTGAAAATGTTGAAAACAGTTGCGCTGCTTAATTTTTTTTTTGCGGAAACTGTGATACTTTTTTTCACGGATTATTTTATAACATTTTAAATGCATTTACTGTCGCTTTTAATCAAGGTTTAATCAATCCCTGCAGAATAAAAGTATTAGTCAAAATTTTGAATCAAAATATGTTTCAATCCTACCAAGGACTAAAGTTATCCATTGTGAGGAATTTGAAATATGACAAAAGTAAATGTGACGTTGACTCTTACCTAAGTTATGGGCAGAGATAGCTCCTGATTGGCCAGGTGGTTGCTGGACTTTAGTGCGAATTATCCTGCGGCAAAGAGTAAACAGGAATTAGACATTATGGTGTGTTTGAGGTTTACCATGCAAGGTGCTATGTGTAGGGGTGTGTGGGTACTGTATATGCTTTAATATAAGTATGCAAGCACGTGATGTGTGTGTGTGTGTGTGTGTGTGTGTGTGTGTGTGAAGTGGCTCATGCAGGCTGACATGGCAGCAGAGTCTCACACTTCCTGCATGGCTGCTCAAGCAAAGCACCTTTCCCCTCTCCTCTGCCTCCCCCTCTCTCTCTCTCTCTCTTTCTCGTACTCTCTCTCTCTCTCTCTCTCTCTCTCTCTCTCTCTCTCTCTCAGAGAAAGATTGTCATTGTACACATGCTGTTGAACCAGTGAGCTGGACACTGCTCATGAATATGTGTCTTTTTACTTCACTAACTCAGTCAGTCCTGTTGTTTTTCTCTATCCTCCTCCATTCTTTCTATCTTTTCTCCATGCATTTCTCTATCCCTTTTCTAAAGTGATCAACTATTTCACAACAATGTAATGGTTTGTACACATACATCGGGGTCAGTAAGAAATTATTAAATGTTTTTGAAATAAGTCTTATGCTCAACAAGGCTGCATTTATTTGATCAAAAACACAGTAATATTGTAAACAATAACCAGTAATATTGTAAAATATTTTTACAATTTAAAATAATTGTTTTCTATTTGGTTATACTGTATTTTAAAATGTAATTTGTTCCTGTGATGCAAAGCTGAATGATCCCTCAGAAATCATTTTAATATGCTAAATTGGTGCTTTAAAGGTGCATTGCGCAAGTCTCTGAGTTTTTGCAGAACTATGCCCCCTCTGGCGACAAGCGAAACTGCAACCAGAGGTGTGCGCGCTCATGGACCACACGCACGCTTGCACGAGCACAAGCTGTTGTTCATAACCAAAGGAGCATCAGCCGCACAAATCTTTTGTTTACAGTCATAATGTCTTCAGAGGTAATAAAGTTATAAATCTGCAAGTCATTTTAAATATATGAAAGGAAAGGCATTTGAGTAAATTACACACTTATGTGTGAGGGGAAAACGGGGGTAGTAGAAAACTTCGGTTTTTGTTTCCATCTATCTCCATGTTGAACTGTTTTATGTGTTTATTGTATCCACTTATGATTGTATTATTATGGAAACACGTTCATGAACAATATAAGTTATTACTTTGTAAAAGCCAACTGAGGATCCCGTTTGAGCCCTAGAGCAGACCGGAGATCTCTCCATTTGTTGAAAGCCTTCCCGATGTTGACTCTCGTCTTATTCCGACGCCTGTCTGACTCCAATTTGGCCCTTTTGGTGGCACTAGACAAAAGTTTTCTTTTCTTTGTCTTACGTGGAGTTTGCGTTGGGGTTTGAAATGAACTACAAGCCAGTCTCTTAGAATCCATCTTCTACTTTTGTCAAAAGTTGACTAAAGTTTTTTCGCTCGAGTTGTCTTCGCTGATACGGAGAATGGCGGCGAATACACAAACCTGCCAGACATAGCCAGCTGAGCGTGAACGCGCATGACGTCACGCCCAGTCTCAAATTCCGTCCCGAATCCCTCTTATTTATTTTACTGTACAGGATTATAGAGGCAATCGCAGTGATCAGAGAGGGGCTCATTCAGCCCATCAGGCAATTGTTTAAGCATGTATGGGTTAGAAAAACGGGTATTTTTAACATGAAATGTTGCGCAATGCACCTTTAAGAAACATTTCTTATTATAATCCATGTTGAAAACAGTTGTGCTGCTTAATATTTTTGTGGAAACTGTGATCATTTTTTTTTCAGGGTTCTTTGATGAATATAAAGTTCAAAAGAACAGCATTTATTTGAAATAGAACATTTTTGTGACATTATAAATGGATTTACTGTTAATTTTGTTCAATTTAATGCATCCTTGCTCAATAAAAGTATTAATTTCCTCAAAAAAAGCTAATTTTACTGACCCCAAAGTTTTGAACAGTGATATATGTACACAAACATGCTTTATGCATGTTTGGAAAGTGAAGCAATGGCAAAAACAAATTCGGAAAAACACACTTTAAACAATTTCAACCCAATCAAATCTTAAAAGGTTCAATCTTAAGTCACTCCCTTATATTTTAAGGAAATCAAAGTTTGAAGAAATTCAAATTGACACTTAAACAGACATTTTTGTGTCAAGTTGAATGGATAATAATGAAAATATTTTAACAGTGCACACACACACACACCTGTTGATTGAGCTGACACTGGGCACGCTGTCATTATCACACACTCTCTCTGCCAGCAGTCTGTCTCGGATCTCCCAGGCAAACATGGTGGGGTTTTGGCGTTTGTAATCAGCGATTTTGTCGACGACTTTGGGTGTAGCAACCTTTGGTTTGGAGCCTCCGATCACCCCTGGTCTGATGCTGCCTGTCTCATAGTACCTGTGGAGCAAATAGATAGAGAGTTGTATTTCACCAGGCAAGATAAACAGAGAGTTAGAGCATATGCTAATCTGGCATTGTAGGTCTATAATGCCTTGCGGTCAGCGCACAGTAGGTTACTAGTAACACAGACACCAAGAACAACACCTTTCACAAACCTGAAATAAATGATCAATCTGTTCAGCCTATAAAAAATAAAGAAAATCTTATTTAAGCCATACACGCATGAATTCTGAAATACACCCTGGTCTAAATTCTGATTGGATGAGACACTTCAAAGCCATGCAGATAAATGCACACCTGTGTCCGCACATTCTATATTAATGCATCTATGGTAAGCGTAAACAGCCTATATTTAAAGGGATAGTTCACCCAAAAAAAATTAATTTTTTTAAACACAAATGAAGATCTTTTTGATGAAATCTATGAGCTTTCTGCCCCTCCATTGACAGCTAAGCAACTACCACTTTCCGCAAAGTTCATAAAGAGATCGTAAAAGTAATCCGTGTGAATTGAGCGGTTTAGTCCAAGAGCGGTTTAGAGTGGTTTCGTTTTCTGGAGAGATACGATCGGTTTATATGATGACCAGATTGAATTTAGGCTTTTATTGACATATATGACTAATATATGTCAATAAAAGTTTTGATATATTTAATATATGTTTTGATCATATTGATCAGCGGACATAAACAGAAGCTCAACTGAACCTGCTTGACGTGCGAGAACAAACCTCTTGCGGAAGCTCGAACCTGCTGCGTAACACACGAGAATCAACAACATTGGTTCTTGCACGTCAAGCGACCATGCTTGAGCTTCTGTTTACCACAACTGATGTGTGAGTTGATTCATGTTTATATGTAAATAAAACTAAAGCCTAAGGCCGTGTGTCCACCAAAGCGTTTTTAGTCAGCTGAAAACGCTTGACGCTCTGCTGAAAACGCCTAGCTGTGAGCGCATGAGAGCGTTTTGGAAGCGCAGCGTTTTTTCCGTTGAGACGTTTCGTTGCTATGATACAAAATATCCGCAGCACAGTTTACTTGTAACTGATTTCGCAGGTAATTTGTTTCATACTAAAAAAATATTTTTCATCCATTTTGTTCGGTTTGCTCTGCTGGTTGATGTCGTTGTACAGAAAGAATGTTGTGACAGTTGGTCGGTGTGATATTAGTCCCGCCCCTCCTCCACTGTGATTGGACGGTTGGTGAAAAGTGACAGTGATGAGCGCTGCGTTTTATCCAAAAGTTGAACATTTTTCAACTCTCGGCGACCAGAAAAACGCCGGGCGCTCAGCGCTTCAGCGTTAAATGCACGCTCAGCGCCTCGTTGCGCTCATGGCGTTTAAAAAACGCGGCGCTCCCATTGAAAACAATTGAAAACGTACGCCAGGCGCGAGTAAAAACGCTTTGGTGGACACACGGCCTTAGTGATCGAGTCTCATCAGAAATTTTGGACTAAACAGCTCAATTTTTATGGATTAGTTTTACGAACTCTTTAATAACTTTTTGAAGCATCAAAGTGGTAGTTGTGTAGACTGTCAACGGAGGGACAAAAAGCTCTCAGATTTCATTAAAAAAGATCTTCATTTGTGTTCCGAAGATGAACGAAAGTCTTACGGGTTTGGAACGACATGAGGTTGAGTAATTAATGACAGAATTTTAACTATCCCTTTAAGCAAATCATGGTGGAATAATCATTGGTTTAAATTAGTAATATTAAATTATTATATATTTTTAGTATGAATACATTTATTGAAAATATTAAAGTATATATTGAAAATGAGATCATTTGGTGAATAATCATTATTTAAATGATTCATATTAATGCATTATTATTATGATATTCTAATATGCTTAGGTTAACATTTCTTATTATTATAAATGCTGAAAACAGTTGCGATGCCTAATATTTTTGTGGGAACTACAGCAAAACAACAGCATTTATTTGAAATAAAAATATTTTGTAACATTGTAAATGATTTAACTCTCTTTTGGTCAATCCTTGCTCAATAAAAGTATTAATTTATTACAAATAAAAAAAAGTCTTATCTCAAACTTTTGAACTGTAGTGTATATTATGATATTAGTGATATATGATATTATTAATTATTTATTAATAATTATATTAAATGCATTTATTCATTGAAAATCTGATGATTAATATTAATAAATGAATGTGATCTTAGATTATTAACATTAATACAATTATTGAACATTGGTGTCTCATATATTGCTCTTTCTAGTGTTTTATGAAGCATCCAGCCCGGCTATGCTTTACAGTAATTTTACCACGGTAAAGGGGGTTTTAGGTGCTCTGCTTCGTCTTGCATGGCTAGATTTAGTTAATGCCCTACACACAAACATAAAGCATACAGCACAGCCATGAAAAGTTCACCAAAATTAGCGTGCAGAAAATTCCCTCATTACAAGAGAGCCGAGTTAGTCATACGCCTTATTTACTCAAACCTCACTTGCAGCCCACATATTAGTGTGTTTTCTGCCTGAGCAGTAAGAGGGAAGGAAGATATTACCACACACACGCACACACACACACAGAGAGAGAGCGCTGCAGTAACGGTTGAGTGAGTTGGACCGGGGCTGGGGGAAGAGGGCTGAGGCAAAGGAGAACAATGCGAAACACATTTTTTTGATATAGCTAAAGGCTCTAGCACTAATCCACACCTTTATCCATTCAAATTCTGTCCTCCCCCTTAACCCCTTCCTCCCTCTCCTTCTCTCTTTCCTCCTCTCTCTCTCCCTTTCTCTGTCCTTCCAGCCATCCCTCCCTCCTCGGGAGACGTATGGTGCCCAGTGTCATTTTGATGCAAATGTAAAATGTGATGAATCTTTTCTTTTTTGTCCCAGAAAGACAGAAAGAAAAGACGGCGCTTTGACTTTGGCTTCGGTGCGAGATTTCAGAATTACTGAATTTCAACGTGTCTCCTTTGAAAGGAAGCGCTGAGTCAGCCTCAAGTTGAACCAACGGCAGAGGGAATATCAGCCGTACGGCCGGCATTCATCAGTGTATGGATATTTCAGAAATTGATATTTATTATGGATAACGTGTAAGTTGACTTGATGAAAGAATGGAAGGAGGGTTGGAAAGCATTTAAAGGCAAGACTACAAACAGACACTGGCTCCACTGTTTGAATGCAATAGAGGACATTAAGCTGGTTTCCCAGGCAATGATTAAGCCTAGTTCTGGATAAAATAACACAGGCGATGGAGATTCTCCATTCAAAATCCTCTTCGGTCTGGGACTAGGCAAACTCTGTCTGTGGGAACTAATCCATATTATTCACCAATACATTGTTATATGATATAATCATATAATATCTCAAGAAACTGTCTTTATACTGACACAGAGCTCTATGGCATGTCTAGTCACATGGTCGCCTATAGTTGCATCCACTCTGTTATATAATATTGTACAGCTCAAATGCTAATATGTTTACAGTTTGAGAAATGAGTTTCATAAAGTGCTACATACTCTTATGCTCATCAAGGCTGCATTTATTTGATCAAAAATAGAGTAAAACAGTATAATAATAGATTCTTTTCCATTTTAATATATCTTGTTGATGCTCAAGAACCATTTCTTATTATTATCAATGTTGAAAACGGTTGTGCTGCTTAATATTTTTCTAGAAAGAGTGATTATTTCAAGATTGTTTGAGGAATAGACAGTTCAACAGAACAGCGTTTATGTGAAAGAAATATTTTGCATTATTATAAATGTCTTTACTGTCACAATTGATCAATCGAATGTGTCCTTGCTGAATAAAAGAATTAACTTCTTATAAAAACAAATCATACTGACCCCAAACTTTTTAATGGTAGCGAATTTGTCAATGTTTAAATGTGATTTAGAAACAGTGTGAATATATAGGACCAACAGAAATCACACACTGTGGTGCTATGATACTGAATGATGGCTATATGCATTTTTCTTTTATAAAATGTTACATGCAAAGTGCTATAAAAGAATCTCTAGGAAAATATGTATGTACCATGGTATTTTTGGTATTATTTTTCTAGTGATATGAGTTTATATATATATATACATGCTTCTGTTTGACATTTTCTTATGATAAGCAGAACTCACCTGCCCAGTATCTTGCTGACGCAGCCGTGGCTGACCCGGAGCTGGCGGGAGATGTCACATGGACGTACGCCCTGATGGGCCAACTCCACTATCCTCTGCCTCACCACGTCAGGCAAGGGCCGCCCGTTGACAAACACCCCGCCCAGCTGATTCACCCCTCCATGCCCTGCGGACACAGACAGCAATAAAAGGACACTGAGCAAATCACATCTTCCTTAAATACAGAAGCTGTCACATAGCAGGCAAAAGGTGTTGCTGTCCCACCCTGGTGTGTGCGCGCGTGTCTTTGACCTGAAGGTTACGATTCATTATGCAGTCTCTTCCTCTCCTCTTTATCATATCTGCCCCTGGTGGTCACCTAGAGAATTGCACATGACCTCCTCACTCAAGTTTGTTTTTGTATATTGTCTATAATTGTAGTGGAGTCTTTTTTTTTTGCACAGTGGGTGGTGGGCTGGACCTCCATGATGGGCTTAGACTTTTGGATACCAATTTTCTTTCATTCTTGTACTGTATATATATATATTCATTAGAATTCAGTATCTTATCATCATTTCAGTGCAGAAGTCTTTGTGGTAATCCAGCCAATCTGTCATATTAACATACTGATTGCTTCAGAAGGGGAACACACAAACACACATTTACACACACAAAGGGACTGGGGGATCTGTTAATCCAAGCTACAGGGTAATGGATCTTAAATACATCCGGGCAGGCAATATCAAAAAGACCTAACTGGCCTGTGTCCTCATAACTATATATAAGTTCAGCTAAAAGAAAATTAATACCCAGCTATGTGTCATTTTCATTCTCTCAAGGCAGCGAGCTGCTTTTTAATGAAGTTCCTTTACTGAGTGATTTGACCTCTGAGAGGTCTGCATAAGTCTGATTTCAGTTTCATTTGACCTCTTTTCTATTTCGTTTCTAGTTTGCTTCAGTTTCCTTATTATTTAAAAACTTACTGACAAAGTCATGTAGTCAACTAGCTCGGTTGATTTTAAAGATGTACATTAAAAATTAGGTGTGCAAACTTTTTTATGATCATGTATATATATTTTTTTTTTTTTAAACATGTTTTGCTTAATCCCCTGTTTTAATGTGATAAACAGCATCAAATCTGCGTCCTTCTACAAAAGAAACACACACAGTGAAATACATCAGACAAGCACATTTGAAAGTCGAGTATAAAATGATTCTTCCTGTGGAAGGCCTTAAGTTTTTAAATATGCATAACTTAGAGAGTTTTTAGATCAGTTTATGTTGAATTTCTAATACTTTAGTTAGAAAAGGTGGAAACTTTTTCAGCTGCAACCAGTCACCAGTTAAGCACTGATTTACAGTAGGCTATAGTTATGCCAATACATATTATTAATATATGCATTGAGCAAGCATGTGTTGAAGTGTGTATGAGATATGTGTTTGTTTGAATATAAGAGCGTAGAAATAAGGCTGCAGTAAGGATTAAACGAAACAAGCTATTCAGATGTGATCTGACCCAGACTTTTCTTCAGCAAATACTGCAGGCTTATAAATCGAAGTGTTCCTAGAGCTTTGATTGATTTCGAGGCAGGTTCCGTTTAGAAATGGCGAGAGCGGCTGAAAGACATTCATGCTCCCCCATCCAGAAAATAAACCCGATTAGAGACGCTGCTCCATTACGATCCGCTATCGGCCGCTTCGGTTAAACCAAACGCCAGCAAAGCGACGTGACATCAGGCGTGCATTAACAAACACACTCAAGAAGAGAAAAAAAAACGAAAGAAAGAAAGAAACAAGTAAGGGACTACCTTCATTCATGCAGGGTAAATGCATTGTTTTCGAGAATGAATGCATGCAGCATTTGGAAATAAAATCACAGATATATACATTTTAAAAATAAAAAAAGAATTTATCTAGTAGCCTATAGTAGAAAATACGTTTAAACAGGCTATAAAGTGCAGTAGCCAATAAGCGTTTAGGTTTCCTGCATTAAAAAAGTTTTAAAGAGATTTTTTTTATTTCTTCAAATGTTCATAAACTAGTCACTATGTACATCATATTATTAGTAACAGGTTGATTATTAATATTTTGTCATAGTTTACTCAAATTTATCACGTAGCATATCATAACCTAGTAATTAATGCCTCACTGCCTGATTAGCCTATTATTTTATTTTCTAATAAGGAATTTTTGCATAATTTACGTAAAATGTAAAATTGTAAAAAGAAAAGAATACTGTTTTTTTTATTTAAATAAGCGACACCAAACAACCAAGGGAAACTCAGAGCACAGAAACAAAACAAGATGACACTTCAGAAATTTCAGCAAAGAAATAAAAAATCTAAGCAAAAATCAATGCTTCACTCCTAAATAAGACTGAATTAGTCACTCTTTCGATGGACAATGAAAATGTATTCGAATTTAAAATAAGTATTTAATTCGTGTTTAAATAAAAACAGATAAAACACAGTTAGAAATATTTGGCAAAATTAATATACTATATGACTATGCATTCATCGCTCGTATCAATTTAGGGTAAAACTTTAACCAATTTATACGACCAACTACTAGTGGCCTAATAACAACTGTAACATAGCCTATCATTTACTGCACCAGGTGTTAAATATTGTAACTTGCATTGTACGAGAGTTCACACTTTTTATGACAATTTAAAACCTGCAAAGTCTTATGAATATACAAGAGAAAGATAAGTAGCCTATGAGTTTAAAATCCTAAAGTCTTCTTCCTGTCTCTGCAACGTCAGTGGAGTTTCTTTCCTAATAGTCTCCCAGGTTCTTGGCACAGTCCATTCTTAAGGCTTGCACCGTTTGACATTTTCGGTGTAATCGTTTTACCCCGCGGATTGTGTTGAGATATTGTAGCAGAGAGGAAACGTGATTCGTTCTAGCTTCTGAAATGTGTATACATCTAATCCACCGTTTCATTCACCGTGCCAATAGATGTCATTTCACATAGACGTGCGTGTGCGTGTAAGAGTGGGTGGGTGCGCGCATATTTGAGTTTTGCGGGTTTATTCATCGATGAGAGGGAGAGAAAGAAAGAAAGAATGAGCGAGCGAGCGAGCGAGGAACAGGAGGAGAGAGAGAGAGATCACAATTGCATTTTCAGGGTCCATAATATGTGATTGGCAGCTTGGTTTTTGGTAACAAAGACATTGCAATTTTCGGTTTTCAAAAAAATATTTTCTTACAAATTGAAGATATACGCTGATTTTACATAAATAACTAATAAATATTTAATGATTGTTAAAAAAAATAATAAAAATTATGTCTTGCACACTGAAAATCCTAATTCATAATGAAGTAAAATGTGTAGCAGACTATTCAAATGAAGCTGTTATTTGCGGCTTGTACGCTGACTGCGAATAAAAAATAAAGAGGAGGGAAAGAGAAAGGGGCCCTTAACGCTGGTATCTTGGGGGACCACCGGTGTCCGCCATGTCACGAATGAGTGACCACACATCTCTCCGCCACAGTGAGCAACTTCAGCTTTCGTTTTTTACCTCACAAGTGTCCTGTTTACAGCTACCCTCAAGCAATGTATTTAAAGGTTACGGAGCCTGTTTGCCATATCCTCAGCTGCGGTTCAAGTTCAGTTTGTGTCCACTGGCTGCTGGCCTTGGCCGCGATCTCTTCCCCCCTCTCTTTCCCCCTGGGATTGTCAAGCAGGCTAAAGCTCTAACAAAGCAATCCGGTTCTTAGAATGCCAAAACAATCGGACCAAACAGCAAAAAACGTCACATTTATTTAAGACAGTTGCCTTATTAAAGTTTATAATGCACATGCTTTGATTTCATTAGATGTAATCCGAGATCACTCTTAAAAATAAAGGTTTCAAAAGGTGGGAACCATTTTTGGTTCCCCAAAGAACCTTCAGGTCATCAGTTCTTCAAAGAACCATTTTTTTCTTACTGTGAAGAACCTTCAAAAAAATCTAAAGAACCTTTTCAAGAACGTTTTGTGGAATGGAAAGATTCCAAGGTTCTTCGTGGAACTAATGCCAATAAAGAACCGTTATTTTTAAGCCTATATTTTGTTATCCTATTTCTTTAATAAAAAATAAAAAAATAAATAAACTTTCTGGGAACTTTGAAAGAAATCAACCATTTGAAAGCAGTTAGTGAAAGACTACGGGGAACTTACTGTGCATCGCTGCGAACGGGTCGTGTTTGCAGTGGATTTCCATCGTTTAGCAGGACAGGCCTTCCGTTCAAAAGAAGCAAAAAGTCTTTAATGTCCAGTACTTTTTTCTTTTAAAGGTTTGTGCGTTTGTGGTCAGTCCGTTCTGCTCGGAAATGTCTCTTTTAAACGCAGTTTCAGCTGTTTAGAAGTCCAAAGAAACTTTGGTTGGAAAATAAACAATTGACCCTGAAGACCTAAGGCCTATATTCGGTCAAGAGTAAAAGTAGTTTTTGTGAATTGCGTGGAGGGAATAAAAAATGATAATTTCATAAATAATCATTTATCTTGTCCGTCATTAATCAGTCTACAAAAATAAGCAAAAAGGCGGTCCGGGCACAACCCTGCAGGGTCACACAACTGCTCCTGCGGCCCAACATCCAGAGTGAACTAACTCAGACATCTGTAGGGATTCATCAAAATGGCATATCAAGAAAAGTCCTGGCATGTGCCAATTTTAATATTAGTCCGAACAGTCTTCTTAAGCTTTAGATAAAAATGTAGAAGTCTCGTTTCCAAGCTCTATCTTGACATCCTCGCTCCACTGACCGTGACCCGTGAACTGTGACCGAGGTTCGCACTGTCAGAGCGCGTCCCTTCCAGGGATCTGTAAAATCCTGGTGAGGTTTCTGAGAAACCCAAACATTTACTTCATGTTTAACGGATCTTCACATAAACGCGATTTCCTTGCATCTTCTAATTGCTCAAATCGCGCCCTCAGACTCTCTCTTTTTTTTTTTTTTTAAAGAAAGAAAATATGCAGATTACTCCGACAGCACGAAGATCCCCAAACAATAGACATACGACCGTGGACATATGAAATTAAAAAGTACTTGGTGTGAACCCCGAATCAAAATGTTTGCCAAAGTTAAACAGAAAATGATAAATAGCCATTGCGCGAAGCATTTGAACTTGAAGGAAAAAAAATGTCCAAGAAATGTCGTGAAGAAGAAACAGGTTTTATCAAGTTTTGACCCGCGTAAAAATCCACGGAAAGTCTCAGTTGACTGGTACGGTAGTGTAGTTTTTCTCTCTCGTCGCAATTGATGTCCGCCGAACGGTGTTCTTCCAGTGTGAGAAGCAGTGGTCGAGCCTCCAGTCCTTACCGCGCAAACACTGCACGAGCGCACGGCGCGTTTCAGAACCTGCTCTCTTGTGGACAGCGCCAAAGCTACAGCGCTCTGAATCTACTACCGAGTCCGAGCGAGACTGTCAATCAAGAGAAGTCTACCTATCCGAGCACTGCACCTCTGCCGTCACAATCGCCCTGAGTCGCGCTCAGATAAAGACGACACCGATTGGCTAACACTGAACCAATATGAGAGTGGCGTGCTGTCCCAATTGTGCACCGTCAAATAGGGAGTCTTGAATCGAAGTTGGTTCTCTTCATGGCTTCGCTGATCCCATGTCTAATTTCAATTAAGGAAGGTGATAAAATTGAATTTTTTAAATATCCGTTTGCACTTTTTTTCAGTCATTCAATTAATAAATGGTTAATAATTGGGTATTGCGTCAGAATATGTTTTCAATTGTGAATAAGCTTTGTTAAATCATTGTAAAAAAAAAAATGCTTATGACAACTGACGTATTGCAGCATTTTACTGAGCTACACGTGCATATAAAAGATAATGATACATAAAAAATAAATGAAAATATTTTCTCACTGTTGTATTTACACATTATTAGAAATTATAAATGATGTCCCACTTGCACGTGCAGTTACGACTGCTGTTTGGTATCTTTGACAAAAGTTTTAATATTGTTATTTAAAAAAAAAGACTTTAAAGGTTTAACAATTCTGCATTCATAATGAAATCTATTCGTTTTTATTTATGAGGTTTCTTTGTGCTTCCAACAACAAAAATCTTCCTACATGTTTGACGGACACGAGCGCTGTTCCACACAGACTTTTGCTTTATGCTAAATCATTTTTCATTACCAGCCCTAACAACAGATTATTAAGCACTAGATATTAAGTCATGTTAAGTTTAGTTGACTTAGAAACTGTGGTGTGTTTTTAAATAATGATTATAATTGCCGTGGTGTCTAGCATCATGGTAATCAGTGCAATACACTTTTAATTATTTTTAAAAAAAGTTTTTTAAAAGAAACCAGTATGATTTCATTCATTCGTTCATTTCATTATTAGATCACACGAAAAAGGGACAAAATAGGCTACTTGAATTTAACTGATTCAGTTAGCCTATAATGAATTAACTTGGGAGTATTTTCAACACCTATTGATTTTTTATATATAATTACCGTTGTGTATATTTATTTATGTCCTTCATTAATTTATACACAAAAAAAAAGACAAAACATAAACAAGGCAAAACATAAAACGACCTAATAAATTTGTTACATCATGTTATTCAATGTGTTACATTCAGATGTTCCATTGCCTACCTATATATTTAAAGGAACACCCAAACCTTAACTCTTCTAAAACTCCATTTTAATGTTTTAATTGAGAACGCTTTGGGGCAAATTTCCGTGCTGCGACTACTCACATTGTTAATCTAGAGATCAAAGATACAATTATCTTATGTATTTGCCTGTGTGGTCAGAATAATGTAATCTTTAAGTCACTGTAATCCTAGGCTACATGCTCAAAATGCATGTGCTCAGTACACATATTCGCTATATTCTGTGAAGGAGAGATTCCTCCGTGGTGCGCCATAAGTGCCACGAGGGGGCGAACCTCTGGTCTCTTATGAAGAAGATCCATCGCGCGCAAACACACACACACACACACACACACACACACACACACACACACACACACACAGCGCGCGCGCACACACAGCAAATGCACACGCACACTTATAAACTTGTGAAATTATAGCAACTAGACGTTTTGCAATGTTAAAAAAGGCCTAAGCGCTATTTGCAGATATTTTGTATTCCGTTTTTAATCTCATTAGATGTTTAAATATTTGTGTCGCTGTTTTGTTTTGTTTTTGAGAGAAAAACGCAGCCCGCAAATAAACATTACCTATGCCTATTTTATAACTTTATGATGATTTTGAGATTTAATTTTTTCGCATAAATTATTTGAATTATTGTATGCTCCTTTTTGTCTCTCAATTTCCCCGTGTTTGACTGTGGCCCACGTGACTAAATGCTCTCATATTCTGTCTTTCTTGAGGAAATGCTTGCTTATAACAGTTGCCCAAATTTTCTGCTATAGCCTACTTCGCAAATTAAATATAAAAACAAGTCAAACTAAAACACAGCTAATTTGTAGCCTTTGCTTTTGGCTCTGTCTTGGAATTCTTTTTATAAAAGTTCTATCATGATTCAAACCATTTTTTTCCTAAATCATAAACATAAATCATTATTGAGATAGGCTAGTGTTTTTTGTTTTTTAAGACAAAATGATTTAGGATTCGGGTTATTAAAGAAATCACTTAAAAAAACAAATAGCCTAGGCTACATAATAGACAGTAAAAAAAAACACAAAAGACACACATAAAATAAAACAAAAATATAGAAGTGTTCAGAATTCGGTGGGCACAAATTTGAATAATAATTCTGAATAGTTCAGAGCCTATCAGAGTCAAAGCCAAAGACAATACTTCCAGTCCTCTCCAAGTTGTCAGTTAATGATTTACACCATTGACAGAAACTTGTATTCTGTTCGGTTTCGTTTAGATTAGCTGTTTAGTTTTATTCTAAATAATAATAACTTTTCAAGTTATTTCCCGGTCGCTATCATTGAGGAAAGGAAACCCTCAGAACATCAGGAGGATGACAATGCAAATGGCATTGCTTTTCGACGACTCCAAGTCTGCTTAGTTTAAGTTTTAAAGATAGGTATTTTGACACAAAAAAGTTGTTCATTTTTTGTGTCAAAATACCTATCTTTAAAACTTAAACTAGTCATAGCCTACTATAAAAATTGTATGCTCATAAAATCAAAAGACAAAAAAAAACAAAAAACACGACAACCAAATATAGGCCTACTGGGATGTCCGATGTCTCATAATAATATGATTTAGTCTTCAAGGAAATCTGGGCGTAGCCGTTTTGACGCAGGTGAGATGAACCACCTTAGCTCATTTAAACTGGTCTATTTAAGACAGAACTATTTAAGAACATTGTTTCTCGTTGTTATAAAAATTCCCTTTAGGCCTATATAGCCAATAACAAATTCTACATGTAAACAATCAATTTTGACTACTGCTACATCTGTGAATCTGTGAATCTGTGAAGCTCAACCTCACGTTGAGCCAAGTAAGCAGCAACAACACCGGCAGATTTAACGCAGAAATCTCAACTGCACGCGCCATTTCATTGGGAGTTTTAAATGTGACGCGTGAATGAGGGACGTTTATGAAAACACAAACATATTTCTTATTGAATCCAATGGGCTGAACAGTCATAATGTATGCTTCTGGATCAAAATGAAAACATCTGCAGGGACTCAAGCCTCAAAGTTTTTTTTTTTTTTTCATTGAAACAAACATCTTTCAAGAACCCCATTGTGTGCGTCACTGGTTCCTCATCCATTTTCGCTTATAGGCCTAGTTTTTAAATTTCCTGACGGTTTTGAATTTTGATTTTGTTCTTTGGACTGTAGGGCAGAAAAATAGGCCCAAACCCAGCACACTTCAAGCTCAAAACACATTGCTGTGTCAAAATCAAAGAGTCAGCAAAGGTGTGGCCAAAATAAGCGAATTTCTAGACCCATTACAACGTGTTGTTCTTGATTTTTTTTTCTTATGTTAAAAGTGTCAAAAGATGGACCACCAACATTCATCTCAATATAAGGATTAATCCCAAAAACAGTTTTGTAAAAGACATCTAGCCCATTTAGCAAGTGCACAAATGCTGTATTTGTAAAAAGTTTTGTAAAACAGAGACCTAGACTACTTTGAACAAACAATAGTTCAACTGAAATGGAGAAACAGACAAGGCCCTACCCGACCGTCCGATGCGCAGAGATGGACCCTTTTGGTCCAAGTCCATGCCGTGGCTAGAGGTTGGACAGAGGGATGAGCGGGGGGGGGGGATGAGAACAAAAAAAGTTCCCTCTCCTATATCCTCTGTTGCTGGTCTCTCTGCTCTTTTTTTTTTTTTTTTTTTTTTTGTAACAGTGGTTTTGACGAATGGTAGTTTGAAATGTGACTCTTCCGCTCCCTGTTGCGCCGTTGCAATTGTTCACTGGAGTGAGACTAAACGTTTTAGGTGGAAAAGAGACTCTGAAGGAAGCGTGAAACGATTATGGGGCAAAGTCAAGAAAGAGCCGCGCGCTCATGCCTTCTTTCTTCTCTCTCTCTCTCTCTCTCTCTCTCTCTCTCTCTCTCTCTCTCTCTCTCTCTCTCTCTCTCTCTCTCTCTCTCTCTCTCTCTCTCTCTCTCTCTCTCTCTTTCTTCCTCTCTCTCTCACTCACTCACTCACTCACTCACACACAACCGCTCCCCCTCTTCAGATAGACAGTGGCGTGGTTGTAGGCCCTAGATCTGATCATTTGTTGGTAATACTTTTCAAACTTAACTTTCGCTCCGTCGTTTAAAGGGATAGTTCACCCAAAAATGAACATTCTTATCATTTACTCACCCTCAAGTTGTTCCAAACCTGTATGCATTTCTTTGTTATGTGAAACATCAAAGAAGATATTTTAAAGAATGTCGGTAACCAAACAGTTGTCGGGCATCACTTCCATCGTATTTTTTTACCTCTATGGAAGTCCAGTCAATGGGGTCCATCAATGATTACC